AAATTGTAATAAACACAATAAACATCAAAACTTTGAATGATGTACATTTTTAAACTCTGATTAAGAGAAAAGGGTTCTGCTTGAAATTCTATTTTTTTTTCTTCATATTTTCCCCACTTACTGCCACTCACTCTCATTCTCTCTCCTCGCTCATTTCTCTGTCACTCTGCATACATGAGCATGATGCCGCGTGTGAATGTGTTAGGGGGTGTGCTGAGTACTCGAGCGGGCACGATTCAGGAAACGGTGGTCTGGAAAGGACAAACTACCAACCGCACTCGTGTTCTGCTTTGCTTTTGTGAGGAACTGTGAGATAATTGGGGGAATTTACACAAACCGAAAGCAAGCCCAAATAAGCAACTACCCGCTAAAAATAAGCCCCAAAAAACACAACACACAACTTATGAGTTTTACAAGAGACTTCTGAGAAAAAAAAGCCCAGAGTTGCTTATAATAAGCAAACCCAACTATGTCTACAACAAATCTGTATAATAAGTCATTAATGACTGCCACAGAGCCATGAGTGTACATGACAAATGAAGAGAAAATATGTCATCAAAGTAAAATATAAATGTTTCGTTTAAAGACAAGCAATGTGAAATAAAATGTAAATATGTAATGTGTTGGATTGTATATGAACTGAAGATATATCAAATAAATAAATGTGCTTCATATACCCTTTTGTGTTTTCATTTAGGCTGTATAATAACCAAGGTATTTCCACAGTATTTCAATGTCAACAAAGGTAGGCCTATCAGATTCTGGTCACTTAGTCAAGAGCTTGCAGCGGGTGCCGGAAAATTTCTCTTATTTTCAAATCCAAAACATGACAGGTATGTCTTATGTAATTTAATACCACACACACAAGGCTTGATAGCACCATAGCCAACCAGCAGGGGGTCTTTATCCTGCATGGAAACCACTGGAAAGCCCAATTTAAACCTGCCAAACCTGTTTGCCCCACCTGACTGGTCACCATGACCCAGTCCTTATGATACAATAAAAGTAGAACAACAAACAAATTCAAGTACCTATTTTGATACACTGCAGTAGTGTTTGATTGAAATGTCTCTGTGTGTAGGATTAGACAGGGACAAAATTTCCTCAATAATGTATTATCAGAGGATTCATTATCCTCTCTTCAAATGAGAGCACTCCTGTAATGAAGCATTGGTTTACAATACAAACAAAATATGTGACTGATCAGAGAACAAGTAAATGTACCAACTTGTTTGTTTGTCGTTTGTTTGTTTGTTTTTGACAAGGGTCTTGTGGACTCCTTTACGGACTTGTTTGCAGGACAGTCCACCTGAAGCTGCTGATCTGAATTCATGAGAACGACCAGGGAGAGGAAAGAGACACTAGAGAGAGGAAATGATGAAGGGTAAAGAGGGAGGGAGCAAAGAGGATAAAAGTATGAGTAAATTGAAGAGTAAAGAAGAGAGTGTTCCCCCGTCAGCATGTGTGCATTATAGTGACTTGTTGAGTGGAGCCCTGGCCGCCAACTCTCTGTAGTCATTTGAGCTTCTCTCCCTCTCTCTTCCTCTGTCTTTCCCTCTTTCTCTCTCTCTTTCACCTTCCTGTTGTCTCTAAAAATAGATGCACCAAAATCTTATTATCTACAGAGACAAACCTCCATTCAGCCACTCCTCTCATCGATTTAACACCTAGCTATGTTTGACAGCTGAGCAGGGGGGTCATTTATCACTCCAAATTTGCTATACATTTTGTGAACATATGCGTATGTGTGTGTGTGTGTTCTTGTGTGTGTTTGTGCACTTGGCAGCATCAGGTGCCAAACTGTAGCCTGGTATAGAGGTGAAATATCACTGAGCAGCACACATGCTCCTGTGTGTGTGTGTGTGCCAGACAGCGCTCAAACACACACACACACACACACACACACACACACACACACACACACACACACACACACACACACACACACACACACACACACACAGGAATCGTAACATTCTGCTGATGAACCGTTGGGTGAGTATAACGGAGGCACAGAGTCCTGCACAAACATGTACACACAGATGAATAAAGCCTTGTGGAGGGAAGGGGAGTTGGTCTGATTTTTAGGGCCCGAGCGTAGCTGCTAAGCAGCTGCGAGAGCCCTCTTGTTCCTGTAGTTTCCTTCTTTTGTTATTAGGGCCCGAGCGTAGCTGCTAAGCAGCTGCGAGAGCCCTATTATTCCCCAAGGGGTTTTTCTTTGTTTCTTTAGGGCCCGAGCGTAGCTGCTAAGCAGCTGCGAGAGCCCTCTTGTTCCTGATGGATTCTTCTTTAGGGCCCGAGCGTAGCTGCTAAGCAGCTGCGAGAGCCCTATTATTCCCCAAGTGGTTTTTCTTTGTTTCTTTTTTCTTTTTCCTCCCCTTTGAACTGGAAAATGGCCCACTTCCCACTGGCGAAAACTCATGAAATTTGGCAGGACGACCGGGCCTGGTGAAAAATTTGATATTCTGAAGTCGCCCAAACAATACAATGCAAAATGGCTCCATAGCGCCCCCTAAGGTGAAAAATTCACCTGACGCCTGTACGCTTTGTCAAAATGACACAAAAATTGACACACACATGTATCTCAATAAGATCTACAAAAAAGTCAGTGCGGGCGTATCTGTCAAATGTACGGTTAAAGGGTTATTGTGCATTTTTTGCCGATCCGCACACATTGGAATTTCGCTAACTCCTCCTAAGGCTTTCGTTCCACCGGCACCACATTTGCTCAGGCCAATCTACACCCCATGGCCATTAAAAGTTATTCAAATCATGACGCTGCACCCCACGGTTTAGGTTCTAGGGGGCGCCAAAGATAACCCTAAAATCCACATATTTAAAAGTCTTATAACTTTTTATTTTTGCCCTCACTGGCCTCCAAGTTTTCTAGGATGATGCAATGTCCAGCCATCAACACATTTGTGAAGGAATTTTTACTCCCCAAAAGAGCGCCCCCCCATGGCAGGAGAAAAAAGTCCATTTTTTCTTGTCCCATAAGGTGAAAATTCACATTGTTGAGTGTCACGCCTATACGCTTTGTCAAAATGACACGAAAATTGACACACACATGTAACTCAATAAGATCTACAAAAAAGTCAATGCGCGCGTATCTGTCAAATGTACAGTTAAAGGGTTATTCCGCATTTTTTGCCGATACGCACACATTGGAATTTCGCTAACTCCTCCGAAGGCTTTCGTTCCACCGGCACCACATTTGCTCAGGCCAATCTACACCCCATGGCCATTAAAAGTTATTCAAATCATGATGCTGCACCCCATGGTTTAGGTTCTAGGGGGCGCCAAAAATAACCCAAAAATCCACATTCTTAAATGTTTTATAACTTTTTATTTTTGTCCTCACTGGCCTCCAAGTTTTCTAGGATGATGCAATGTCCAGCCATCAACACATTTGTGAAGGAATTTTTACTCCCCAAAAGAGCGCCCCCCCATGGTAGGAGAAAAAAGTCAATTTTTTCTTGTCCCCTTACATGAAAATACACATTGTTGAGTGTCACGCCTGAACCGCTTTGTCATATTGACACAAAAATTGACAATCATGTGTATCTCAATTAGATCTACGAAAAAGTCAAAGATTGCGTATCTGTATAATGTACGGTTAAAGGGCTATTTTGCATTTTTTGCCAATTCGCACACATTGGAATGTGGCTATCTCCTCCTAAGGCTTTCGTCCCACCGATACCAAATTTGCTCAGGGCAATCTACACCCCATGCCCATACAAAGTTGTAAAAATCATGACGCTGCACCCCACGGTTTACGTTCTAGGGGGCGCCAAAGATGACCCAAAAATCCACATTCTTAAAAGTCATTTTGGCCACTGCAGGAGTACAGAGTACTGCAGTTCTAGGGGGCGCCAAAGATGACCCAAAAATCCACATTCTTAAAAGTCTTTTTGGCCACTGCAGGAGTACAGAGTACTGCAGGATACACACACATATACACACACGCCAACACACACACACACACACACACACACACACACACACACACACACTCAGAGTCTGTTTTTTAGCACCTGCAAAAACATGCTGTTTACATATTTGACAAGAATGCAGAGGCTCCTTTTGCCCCTGAAAAAAATCAAATTTCAAACATAACTTGACTGTTCATTTCTCCAAAAGACAACCATGAAGCTCCATTTCAAACCTGAAGCAGATAGTTGGTGCATGTGTACAGTAACCTGAGGGGAGTGAGGTGACTATTTCTGAGGAGAACATGAGCAGTGAAGATTCACCTTGGAGCTAGAACAGAGACATGCACATGATTATACAGGGGCAGGGGCTCAAGTTTTTTCCAGTCATTTATACAATATGGAAATTAATGTGAAATTAAACCACAAATATGTGTGATGAACTGTTTTTCAAACTTAAACTTCAAATAAAAATTGTAAACTTCAAAACATATGCAAATTTTTAACAAAGAACATAGTAATTTACCTCTATTGACATCAAAATGCAGGCAATGGCCCAGGTGTTCTTTGTAAAATTATTTACAAAACACTGTATAGTCTCACAAATGTCACTTTTTATTTATGCCACTACAAAAAAACATGATGTAAATGATGCATGATGTAAAACATGATGTAAAAAACTTGTGTAGATCCTCCTCTATGTCAGTCCATGTGTAATTTTTCCATAATTCTTTGTTTTTTGCAGCATTTTTGTTAGTGTAACTGCAGATTGTGCTGACAGTGTCTATGGCAAAAAAAAAAAAAAAAACTGAAAATGCCTCAACATGAACCCCTGGTGGTCTCTGAGGGTGAAACCTGCTAACTGCTGCAGCTCTGTCAGCTTCAGTCTCCCATGCAGAGCCCGGAGCGCATGTGTGGCTCTGCACCCTTAGCAGCGTTGCTAACTCCTCAGTAAGGAAAGCCTGCTTCATGTCAGAGTCTCTAAACTCCAGAAGAAGTCGATAAAAGTCCCTTTCTTTCTAAAAAAAAGTCGTTAGGGGGTCTGAAAAGTCATTGAATCTAACAACAAAGTCGCTAGGTTTGCAACTACGTGTCCCAGACTGCATCCCTGCTGAGAGTCCCTCCCTCCCTTCTCATATTGCAGGAAGAACATAAGTTCCCGCCCCTTGTCAATCAGTCACCATATAATTTTGGATTGGTTGTTGTGGTGAAGTTTTCCACCAATAGGAGAGATGTTGTGGTGTGTTTTTTTTTTCCTTTGGCAAGCCTTTTCCGCCTGTAAGACCTGTCGCTAATGTCTGCATGCTATGTTTTCCTGTCTCATACAGCGCGATCGAGCGCCGAACGTGATCAAAATAAGCAGAAAAAAAGTATCGCGGACATAATTTATCATAACTCTGGTTTTATTTGGCCTATCAACACAATTTAAAAACTGGTATATAGGTTGACGTCCTCACTTTTGAGATAAATTGAAACGGAGAGTCAACGAGGCTCCGTCTTGCAGCTACATCCGGTTAAATATGTCATGTGACTTGAACGCACACACACACACACACACACAGACACACACACGCACACACACACACTCAGAGTCTGGTTTGTAGCACCTGCAAAAACATGCTATTTACATATTTGACAAGAATGCAGAGGCTCCTTTTGCCCCTGAAAAAAATCAAATTTCAAACACAACTTGACTGGTCATTTCTCCAAAAGACAACCATGAAGCTCCATCCAAACCTGAAGCAGGCAGTTGGTGCATGTGTACAGTAACCTGAGGGGAGTGAGGTGACTGCTTCTGAGGAGAACATGAGCAGTGAAGATTTACCTTAGAGCTAGAACAGAGACGTGCACATGATTATACAGGGGCAGGGGCTCAAGTTTTTTCCAGTCGTTTATACAATTTGGAAATTAATGTGAAATTAAAAAACAAAGTATTAATAGAAAGGTAATGACTGTCCTGTGTAGGTGACAGTGATATCCAATAGGCTAGGCACTCACGAGGCTGGCTGTGGCAAGTGTAAGTGAAAGCAACACGCACTGGCAGGAAGAACAGCAAACGCCGATGAAGGAAAAGGGTCTTTGCAGTGATGGGCGTTACCAAAGAGGGCGATGGCCAGAGGACACAAATGGGACGGGGAGGCAGCGCGTTGGGGGGGGGGCACGCGACACAGCTCGGGCCCGCCAGTGCCCCAACGGGGTCCTAGTTTGTTATTATTATTATTTTTCCTCCGCTTTAAACTGGAAAATGGCCCACTTCCCACTGGCGAAAACTCATGAAATTTGGCAGGACGACCGGGCCTGGTGAAAAATTTGATATTCTGAAGTCGCCCAAACAATAAAATGCAAAATGGCTCCATAGCGCCCCCTAAGGTGAAAATTCACACTATTGACTGTCACGCCTGTACGCTTTGTCAAAATGACACAAAAATTGACACACACATGTATCTCAATAAGATCTACAAAAAAGTCAGTGCGGGCGTATCTGTCAAATGTACGGTTAAAGGATTATTGCGCATTTTTTGCCGATCCGCACACATTGGAATTTCGCTAACTCCTCCGAAGGCTTTCGTTCCACCGGCACCACATTTGCTCAGGCCAATCTACACCCCATGGCCATTAAAAGTTGTACAAATCATGACGCTGCACCCCACGGTTTACGTTCTAGGGGGCGCCAAAGATAACCCAAAAATCCACATTCTTAAAAGTCTAATAACTTTTTATTTTTGTCCTCACTGGCCTCCAAGTTTTCTAGGATGATGCAATGTCCAGCCATCAACACATTTGTGAAGGAATTTTTACCCCCAAAAGAGCGCCCCCCCATGGCAGGAGAAAAAAGTCCATTTTTTCTTGTCCCCTAAGGTGAAAATACATATTGTTGAGTGTCACGCCTATACGCTTTGTCATATTGACACAAAATTTGACACACACATGTATCTCAATAAGATCTACAAAAAAGTCATGCGCACGTATCTGTCAAATGTACGGTTAAAGGGTTATTTCGCATTTTTTGCCGATCGCACACATTGGAATTTCGCTAACTCCTCCTAAAGCTTTCGTTCCACCGGCACCACATTTGCTCAGGCCAATCTACACCCCATGGCCATTAAAAGTTGTACAAATCATGATGCTGCACCCCACGGTTTACGTTCTAGGGGGCGCCAAAGATAACCCAAAAATCCACAGTCTTAAAAGTCTTATAACTTTTTATTTTTGTCCTCACTGGCCTCCAAGTTTTGTAGGATGATGCAATGTCCAGCCATCAACACATTTGTGAAGGAATTTTTACTCCCCAAAAGAGCGCCCCCCCATGGCAGGAGAAAAAAGTCCATTTTTCTTGTCCCTAAGGTGAAAATACACATTGTTGAGTGTCACGCCTGTACGCTTTGTCATATTGACACAAAATTTGACAATCACGTGTATCTCAATAAGATCTACGAAAAAGTCAATGCGCACGTATCTGTAAAATGTACGGTTAAAGGGCTATTACGCATTTTTGATCGATTCGCACACATTGGAATGTGGCTAACTCCTCCTAAAGCTTTCGTTCCACCGGCACCAAATTTGCTCAGGCCAATCTACACCCCATGGCCATTAAAAGTTGTACAAATCATGACGCTGCACCCCACGGTTTACGTTCTAGGGGGCGCCAAAGATAACCCAAAAATCCACATTCTTAAAAGTCTTATAACTTTTAATTTTTGTCCTCACTGGCTTCCAAGTTTTCTAGGATGATGCAATGTCTAGCCATCAACACATTTGTGAAGGAATTTTTACTCCTCAAAAGAGCGCCCCCCCATGGCAGGAGAAAAAGTCAAGTTTTTCCTGCCCATCGCTCAATGGCTCAAACACATGTCATGTGTTCAAACTCCTCCGAAAGGAGGAGCAACTTGCCATTTGGATATATCCTAGCTGTGTTTGTGCCCTCACTCATGGTCCAGACTTTTTTCAAATAGGACATGTAGTTTGTCTGCAGCGAGCGTTTTGGTAGAAACTGCGCCTCCCATTCATTATAATGGTAAATGACCACAGACAAGTGCGAGCACCATCTTTGGACCTTGAGTGTGACGCGATCGGGAGGGAGAGGCGGTCGTGTTGGGGGCGGCGCGACACAGCTCGGGCCCGCCAGTGCCCCAACGGGGCCCTAGTTCTTTCTTTCTTTAGGGCCCGAGCGTAGCTGCTAAGCAGCTGCGAGAGCCCTCTTGTTCCTGATGGATTCTTCTTTCGTTATTTTTCCTCCGCTTTAAACTGGAAAATGGCCCACTTCCCACTGGCGAAAACTCAGGAAATTTGGCAGGACAACCGGGCCTGGTGAAAAATTTGATATTCTGAAGTCGTCCAAACAAAAAAATGAAAAATGGCTCCATAGCGCCCCCTATGGTGAAAACTCACCTGATGCCTGTACGCTTTGTCAAAATGACACAAAATTTGACACACATGTGTATCTCAATAAGATCTACAAAAAAGTCAGTGCGGGCGTATCTGCCAAATGTACGGTTAAAGGGCTATTTCGCTTTTTTTGCCGATCCGCACACATTGGAATTTCGCTAACTCCTCCGAAGGCTTTCGTTCCACCGGCACCAAATTTGCTCAGGCCAATCTACACCCCATGGCCATTAAAAGTTGTACAAATCATGATGCTGCACCCCACGGTTTACTTTCTAGGGGGCGCCAAAGATAACACAAAAATCCACATTCTTAAAAGTCTTATAACTTTTTATTTTTGTCCTCACTGGCCTCCAAGTTTTCTAGGATGATGCAATGTCCAGCCATCAACACATTTGTGAAGGAATTTTTACTCCCCAAAAGAGCGCCCCCCCATGGCAGGAGAAAAAAGTCCATTTTTTCTTGTCTCCTAAGGTAAAAATACACATTGTTGAGTGTCACGCCTATACACTTTGTCATATTGACACACAATTTGACAATCACGTGTATCTCAATAAGATCTACAAAAAAGTCAATAGGCACGTATCTGTCAAATGTATGGTTAAAGGGCTATTTCGCATTTTTTGCCGATTCGCACACATTGGAATGTGGCTATCTCCTCCTAAGTCTTTCGTCCCACCGATACCAAATTTGCTCAGGGCAATCTACACCCCATGGCCATTCAAAGTTGTAAAAATCATGACGCTGCACCCCACGGTTTACGTTCTAGGGGGCGCCAAAGATGACCCAAAAATCCACATTCTTAAAAGTCATTTTGGCCACTGCAGGAGTACAGAGTACTGCAGTTCTAGGGGGCGCCAAAGATGACCCAAAAATCCACATTCTTAAAAGTCTTTTTGGCCACTGCAGGAGTACAGAGTACTGCCGGACACACACACATATACACACCACACACACACACACACACACACACACACACACACACACACACACACACACACACACACACACACACACACACACTCAGAGTCTGTTTTTTAGCACCTGCAAAAACATGCTGTTTACATATTTGACAAGAATGCAGAGGCTTCCTTTTGCCCCTGAAAAAAATCAAATTTCAAACACAACTTGACTGTTCATTTCTCCAAAAGACAACCATGAAGCTCCATCCAAACCTGAAGCAGATAGTTGGTGCATGTGTACAGTAACCTGAGGAGAGTGAGGTGACTACTTCTGAGGAGAACATGAGCAGTGAAGATTCACCTTGGAGCTAGAACAGGGACGTGCACATGATTATACAGGGGCAGGGGCTCAAGTTTTTTCCAGTCATTTATACAATATGGAAATTAATGTGAAATTAAACCACAAATATGTGTGATGAACTGTTTTTAACACTTAAACTTCAAATAAAAATTGTAAACTTCAAAACATATGCAAATTTTTAACAAAGAGCATAGTAATTTACCTCTATTTACATCAAAATGCAGGCAATGGCCCAGGCGTTCTTTGTAAAATTATTTACAAAACACTGTATAGTCTCACAAATGTCACTTTTTATTTATGCCTCTACAAAAAAACATGATGTAAATGATGCATGATGTAAAACATGATGTAAAAAACTTGTGTAGATCCTCCTCTATGTCAGTCCATGTGTAATTTTTCCATAATTCTTTGTTTTTTGCAGCATTTTTGTTAGTGTAACTGCAGATTGTGCTGACAGTGTCTATGGCAAAAAAAAAAAAAAACTGAAAATGCCTCAACATGAACTCCTGGTGGTCTCTGAGGGTGAAACCTGCTAACTGCTGCAGCTCTCTCAGCTCTAGTCTCCCATGCAGAGCTCGGAGCGCATGTGTGGCTCTGCACCCTTAGCAGCGTTGCTAACTCCTCAGTAAGGAAAGCCTGCTTCATGTCAGAGTCTCTAAACTCCAGAGGAAGTCGATAAAATTCCCTTTCTTTCTAAAAAAAGTCGTTAGGGGGTCTGAAAAGTCATTGAATCTAACAACAAAGTCGCTAGGTTTGCAACTACGTTTCCCAGACTGCATCCCTGCTGAGAGTTCCTCCCTCCCTTCTCATATTGCAGGAAGAACGTAAGCGCCCGCCCCTTGTCAATCAGTCACCATATAATTTTGGATTGGTTGTTGTGGTGAAGTTTTCCACCAATAGGAGAGATGTTGTGGTGTGTTTTTTTTTTCTTTTGGCATGCCTTTTCCGCCTGTAAGAGCTGTCGCTAATGTCTGCATGCTATGTTTTCCTGTCTCATACAGCGTGATCGAGCGCCGAACGTGATCAAAATAAGCAGAAAAAAAGTATCGCGGACATAATTTATCAAAACTCTGGTTTTATTTGGCCTATCAACACAATTTAAAAACTGGTATATAGTTTGAGGTCCTCACTTTTGAGATAAGTTGAAACGGAGGGTGAACGAGGCTCCGTCTTGCAGCTACATCCGGTTAAATATGTCATGTGACTTGAACGCTGGGGAGCGTCAATCGACTGCAGAGCCAGCAGACAAAGTAGTTATGCCACTGAGAGGCACACATTTGTCATATGCTATAATCCTAACATATTTTAATGCTTTTTCTATTTAAACCTAATGGATCTAAGGTTTGACCTTCAAAATTTAGGAAGAATATTTTTTTGCAGTAATGACCCCCTTAAACAACCAGAGGTCCTTTCCTAAAGTTTATGGAAATTTTAGTGAAGGCCTTGGTTTCTTTCATGCAAAATGTATAGAAATAATAAAGCTAAATACCATAAAATGGTCTTGGCGTATTAGCAGTGATATAAAATAGTGGTTTGAATATGAATGAACAACAAAAAAAAACATCAACAGAGCCTTTTTGAGTTGGGATTCTTTCATTATCACACAAAAACAGACATAGACAGACATCTAAAGGGTAAGGGAATGATCAGCCCTCCTAACTCTCAGATGAATCTTAAAAATTCACCGCAGAAATATGCTTATTATTCTTCTCAGAGTACTGCAAGATATATACACACACACAGACACACACACACACACACACACACACACACACACACACACACACACACACACACACACAGACACACTCAGAGTCTGTTTTTTAGCACCTGCAAAAACATGCTATTTACATATTTGACAAGAATGCAGAGGCTCCTTTTGCCCCTGAAAAAAATCAAATTTCAAACACAACTTGACTGCTCATTTCTCCAAAAGACAACCATGAAGCTCCATCCAAACCTGAAGCAGGCAGTTGGTGCATGTGTACAGTAACCTGAGGGGAGTGAGGTGACTGCTTCTGAGGAGAACATGAGCAGTGAAGATTCACCTTGGAGCTAGAACAGGGACATGCACATGATTATACAGGGGCAGGGGCTCAAGTTTTTTCCAGTCATTTATACAATATGGAAATTAATGTGAAATTAAAAAACAAATTATTAATAGAAAGGTAATGACTGTCCTGTGTAGATGACAGTGATATCCAATAGGCTAGGCACTCACGAGGCTGGCTGTGGCAAGTGTAAGTGAAAGCAACACGCACTGGCAGGAAGAACAGCAAACGCCGATGAAGGAAAAGGGTCTTTGCAGTGATGGGCGTTACCAGAGAGGGCGATGGCCAGAGGACACGAATGGGACGGGGAGGCAGCGCGTTGGGGGGGGGGCGGCGCGACACGGCTCGGGCCCGCCAGTGCCCCAACGGGGCCCTAGTTAGGGCCCGAGCGTAGCTGCTAAGCAGCTGCGAGAGCCCTCTTGTTCCTGATGGATTCTTCTTTAGGGCCCGAGCGTAGCTGCTAAGCAGCTGCGAGAGCCCTCTTGTTCCTGATGGATTCTTCTTTTGTTATTATTATTATTTTTCCTCCGCTTTAAACTGGAAAATGGCCCACTTCCCACTGGCGAAAACTCATGAAATTTGGCAGGACGACCGGGCCTGGTGAAAAATTCGATATTCTGAAGTCGCCCAAACAATAAAATGCAAAATGGCTCCATAGCGCCCCCTAAGGTGAAAATTCACACTATTGACTGTCACGCCTGTACGCTTTGTCAAAATGACACAAAAATTGACACACACATGTATCTCAATAAGATCTACAAAAAAGTCAGTGCGGGCGTATCTGTCAAATGTACGGTTAAAGGATTATTGCGCATTTTTTGCCGATCCGCACACATTGGAATTTCGCTAACTCCTCCGAAGGCTTTCGTTCCACCGGCACCACATTTGCTCAGGCCAATCTACACCCCATGGCCATTAAAAGTTGTACAAATCATGACGCTGCACCCCACGGTTTACGTTCTAGGGGGCGCCAAAGATAACCCAAAAATCCACATTCTTAAAAGTCTAATAACTTTTTATTTTTGTCCTCACTGGCCTCCAAGTTTTCTAGGATGATGCAATGTCCAGCCATCAACACATTTGTGAAGGAATTTTTACCCCCCAAAAGAGCGCCCCCCCATGGCAGGAGAAAAAAGTCCATTTTTTCTTGTCCCCTAAGGTGAAAATACATATTGTTGAGTGTCACGCCTATACGCTTTGTCATATTGACACAAAATTTGACACACACGTGTATCTCAATAAGATCTACAAAAAAGTCTATGCGCACGTATCTGTCAAATGTACGGTTAAAGGGTTATTTCGCATTTTTTGCCGATCGCACACATTGGAATTTCGCTAACTCCTCCTAAAGCTTTCGTTCCACCGGCACCAAATTTGCTCAGGCCAATCTACACCCCATGGCCATTAAAAGTTGTACAAATCATGATGCTGCACCCCACGGTTTACGTTCTAGGGGGCGCCAAAGATAACCCAAAAATCCACAGTCTTAAAAGTCTTATAACTTTTTATTTTTGTCCTCACTGGCCTCCAAGTTTTGTAGGATGATGCAATGTCCAGCCATCAACACATTTGTGAAGGAATTTTTACTCCCCAAAAGAGCGCCCCCCATGGCAAGAGAAAAAAGTCCATTTTTCTTGTCCCATAAGGTGAAAATACACATTGTTGAGTGTCACGCCTGTACGCTTTGTCATATTGAAACAAAATTTGACAATCACGTGTATCTCAATAAGATCTACGAAAAAGTCAATGCGCACGTATCTGTAAAATGTACGGTTAAAGGGCTATTACGCATTTTTGATCGATTCGCACACATTGGAATGTGGCTGACTCCTCCTAAAGCTTTCGTTCCACCGGCACCAAATTTGCTCAGGCCAATCTACACCCCATGGCCATTAAAAGTTGTACAAATCATGACGCTGCACCCCACGGTTTACGTTCTAGGGGGCGCCAAAGATAACCCAAAAATCCACATTCTTAAAAGTCTTATAACTTTTAATTTTTGTCCTCACTGGCTTCCAAGTTTTCTAGGATGATGCAATGTCTAGCCATCAACACATTTGTGAAGGAATTTTTACTCCTCAAAAGAGCGCCCCCCCATGGCAGGAGAAAAAGTCAAGTTTTTCCTGCCCATCGCTCAATGGCTCAAACACATGTCATGTGTTCAAACTCCTCCGAAAGGAGGAGCAACTTGCCATTTGGATATATCCTAGCTGTGTTTGTGCCCTCACTCATGGTCCAGACTTTTTTCAAATAGGACATGTAGTTTGTCTGCAGCGAGCGTTTTGGTAGAAACTGCGCCTCCCATTCATTATAATGGTAAATGACCACAGACAAGTGCGAGCACCATCTTTGGACCTTGAGTGTGACGCGATCGGGAGGGAGAGGCGGTCGTGTTGGGGGCGGCGCGACACAGCTCGGGCCCGCCAGTGCCCCAACGGGGCCCTAGTTTGTTAGGGCCCGAGCGTAGCTGCTAAGCAGCTGCGAGAGCCCTCTTGTTCCTGTAGTTTCCTTCTTTTGTTATTATTATTATTATTATTTTTCCTCCCCTTTGAACTGGAAAATGGCCCACTTCCCACTGGCGAAAACTCATGAAATTTGGCAGGACGACCGGGCCTGGTGAAAAATTTGATATTCCGAAGTCGCCCAAACAAGAAAATGCAAAATGGCTCCATAGCGCCCCCTAAGGTGAAAATTCACACTATTGACTGTCACGCCTGTACGCTTTGTCAAAATGACACAAAAATTGACACACACATGTATCTCAATAAGATCTACAAAAAAGTCAGTGCGGGCGTATCTGTCAAATGTACGGTTAAAGGGTTATTTCGCATTTTTTGCCGATCCGCACACATTGGAATTTCGCTAACTCCTCCGAAGGCTTTCGTTCCACCGGCACCACATTTGCTCAGGCCAATCTACACCCCATGGCCATTAAAAGTTATTCAAATCATGACGCTGCACCCCACGGTTTAGGTTCTAGGGGGCGCCAAAGATAACCCTAAGATCCACATATTTAAAAGTCTTATAACTTTTTATTTTTGCCCTCACTGGCCTCCAAGTTTTCTAGGATGATGCAATGTCCAGCCATCAACACATTTGTGAAGGAATTTTTACTCCCCAAAAGAGCGCCCCCCCATGGCAGGAGAAAAAAGTCCATTTTTTCTTGTCCCCTAAGGTGAAAATACACATTGTTGAGTGTAACACCTGTACGCTTTGGCAAAATGACACAAAAATTGACACACACATGTATCTCAATAAGATCTACGAAAAAGTCAATGCGCGCGTATCTGTCAAATGTACGGTTAAAGGGTTATTCCGCATTTTTTGCCGATCCGCACACATTGGAATTTCGCTAACTCCTCCGAAGGCTTTCGTTCCACCGGCACCACATTTGCTCAGGCCAATCTACACCCCGTGGCCATTAAAAGTTATCAAAATCATGACGCTGCACCCCAAGGTTTAGGTTCTAGGGGGCGCCAAAGATAACACTAAAATCACTTTATTTTTGTCCTCACTGGCCTCCAAGTTTTCTAGGATGATGCAATGTCCAGCCATCAACACATTTGTGAAGGAATTTTTACTCGCCAAAAGAGCGCCCCCCCATGGCAGGAGAAAAAAGTCAATTTTTTCTTGTCCACTAAGGTGAAAATACACATTGTTGAGTGCTACGCCTGTATGTTTTGTCGTATTGACACAAAATTTTACATACACGTGTATTTCAATAAGATCTTCGAAAAAGTCAATGGCCACGTATCTGTAAAATGTACGGTTGAAGGGTTATTTCGCATTTTTTGCAGATTCGCACACATTGGAATTTCGCTAATTCCTCCGAAGGCTTTCGTTCCACCGGCACCACATTTGCTCAGGCCAATCTACACCCCATGGCCATTAAAAGTTATTCAAATCATGACGCTGCACCCCACGGTTTAGGTTCTAGGGGGCGCCAAAGATAACCCTAAAATCCACATATTTAAAAGTCTTATAACTTTTTATTTTTGTCCTCACTGGCCTCCATGTTTTCTAGGATGATGCAATGTCCAGCCATCAACACATTTGTGAAGGAGTTTTTTCTCTTTAAAAGAGCGCCCCCCATGGCAGGAGAATAAAGTCAAGTTTTTCCTGTTCATCATTCAATGGCTCAAACGCACTGCTCTCTCGGCAAAAGCGAAAGGAGGAGCAACTTGCCATTTGGATATATCTTAGCTGTGTTTGTGCCCTCACTCATGGTCCAGACTTTTTTCAAATAGGACATGGAGTTTTTCTGCAGCGAGCGTTTTGGTAGAAACTGCACCTCCCGTTCATTATAATGGTAAATGACCACAAACAAGTGCACACACCATCTTTGGACCTTGAGTGTGACGCGATCGGGTGGGGGAGGCGGTCGCGCTGGGGGCGGCGTGACACGGCTCGGGCCCGCCAGTGCCCCAACGGGGCCCTAGTAACTTTTTATTTTTGTCCTCACTGGCCTCAAAGTTCTCTAGGATGATGCCATGTCCAGCCATCAACACATTTGTGAAGGAATTTTTACTCCCCAAAAGAGCGCCCCCCCATGGCAGGAGAAAAAAGTCCATTTTTTCTTGTCCCCTAAGGTGAAAATACACATTGTTGAGTGTCACGCCTATACGCTTTGTCAAAATGACACAAAAATTGACACACACATGTAACTCAATAAGATCTACGAAAAAGTCAATGCGCGCGTATCTGTCAAATGTACGGTTAAAGGGTTATTCCGCATTTTTTGCCGATCCGCACACATTGGAATGTGGCTAACTCCTCCTAAGGCTTTCGTTCCACCGGCACCACATTTGCTCAGGCCAATCTACACCCCATGGCCATTAAAAGTTATCAAAATCATGACGCTGCACCCCACGGTTTACGTTCTAGGGGGCGCCAAAGATAACCCTAAAATCCACATATTTAAAAGTCTTATAACTTTTTATTTTTGTCCTCACTGGCCTCCAAGTTTTCTAGGATGATGCAATGTCCAGCCATCAACACATTTGTGAAGGAATTTTTACTCCCCAAAAGAGCGCCCCCCAATGGCAGGAGAAAAAAGTCCATTTTTTTTTGTCCCTTAAGGTGAAAATACATATTGTTGAGATTCACGCCTATACGCTTTGTCATATTGACACAAAATTTGACAATCACGTGCCTTGCCTGGTATCATTTTTTTCAGCACAACCTCACCTGTGCGAATTTACAGTTATTTTATCATGTTGACATACTGAATTTACACAATGGACCCAAATTCACACACAAAACATAAAATCCGAGTGGAAAAAAGTAACATTTTTACTGTGAAAACCACAAATATGTGTGATGAACTGTTTTTAAAACTTAAACTTCAAATAAAAATTGTAAACTTCAAAACATATGCAAATTTTTAACAAAGAACATAGTGATTTACCTCTATTTACATCAAAATGCAGGCAATGGCCCAGGCGTTCTTTGTAAAATTATTTACAAAACACTGTATAGTCTCACAAATGTCACTTTTTATTTATGCCACTACAAAAAAACATGATGTAAATGATGCATGATGTAAAACATGATGTAAAAAACTTGTGTAGATCCTCCTCTATGTCAGTCCATGTGTAATTTTTCCATAATTCTTTGTTTTTTGCAGCATTTTTGTTAGTGTAACTGCAGATTGTGCTAACAGTGTCTATGGCACAAAAAAAAAAAAAATTAAAATGCCTCAACATGAACCCCTGGTGGTCTCTGAGGGTGAAACCTGCTAACTGCTGCAGCTCTGTCAGCTTCAGTCTCCCATGCAGAGCTCTGAGCGCATGTGTGGCTCTGCACCCTTAGCAGCGTTGCTAACTCCTCAGTAAGGAAAGCCTGCTTCATGTCAGAGTCTCTAAACTCCAGAAGAAGTCGATAAAAGTCCCTTTCTTTCTAAAAAAAAGTCGTTAGGGGGTCTGAAAAGTCATTGAATCTAACAACAAAGTCGCTAAGTTTGCAACTACGTGTCCCAGACTGCATCCCTGCTGAGAGTCCCTCCCTCCCTTCTCATGTTGCAGGAAGAACGTAAGCGCCCGCCCCTTGTCAATCAGTCACCATATAATTTTGGATTGGTTGTTGTGGTGAAGTTTTCCACCAATAGGAGAGATGTTGTGGTGTGTGTTTTTTTTCTTTTGGCAAGCCTTTTCCGCCTGTAAGAGCTGTCGCTAATGTCTGCATGCTATGTTTTCCTGTCTCATACAGCGCGATCGAGCGCCGAACGTGATCAAAATAAGCAGAAAAAAAGTATCGCGGACATAATTTATCATAACTCTGGTTTTATTTGGCCTATCAACACAATTTAAAAACTGGTATATAGGTTGAGGTCCTCACTTTTGAGATAAGTTGAAACGGAGAGTCAACGAGGCTCCGTCTTGCAGCTACATCCGGTTAAATATGTCATGTGACTTGAACGCACACACAGACACACACACACACACACACACACACACACACTCAGAGTCTGGTTTTTAGCACCTGCAAAAACATGCTATTTACATATTTGACAAGAATGCAGAGGCTCCTTTTGCCCCTGAAAAAAATCAAATTTCAAACACAACTTGACTGGTCATTTCTCCAAAAGACAACCATGAAGCTCCATCCAAACCTGAAGCAGGCAGTTTGTGCATGTGTACAGTAACCTGAGGGGAGTGAGGTGAGTGCTTCTGAGGAGAACATGAGCAGTGAAGATTCACCTTGGAGCTAGAACAGAGACATGCACATGATTATACAGGGGCAGGGGCTCAAGTTTTTTCCAGTCGTTTATACAATATGGAAATTAATGTGAAATTAAAACACAAAGTATTAATAGAAAGGTAATGACTGTCCTGTGTAGGTGACAGTGATATCCAATAGGCTAGGCACTCACGAGGCTGGCTGTGGCAAGTGTAAGTGAAAGCAACACGCACTGGCAGGAAGAACAGCAAACGCCGATGAAGGAAAAGGGTCTTTGCAGTGATGGGCGTTACCAGAGAGGGCGATGGCCAGAGGACACAAATGGGACGGGGAGGCAGCACGTTGGGGGGGGGGGACGCGACACGGCTCGGGCCCGCCAGTGCCCCAACGGGGTCCTAGTTAGGGCCCGAGCGTAGCTGCTAAGCAGCTGCGAGAGCCCTATTATTCCTGATGGATTCTTCTTTCTTCTTCTTCTTATTATTATTTTTCTGCCCCTTTGAACTGGAAAATGGCCCACTTCCCACTGGTGAAAAGTCATGAAATTTGGCAGGACGACCGGGCCTGGTGAAAAATTCGATATTCTGAAGTCGCCCAAAAAATCAAATGCAAAATGGCTCCATAGCGCCCCCTAAGGTGAAAAATTCACATGATTGAGTGTCACGCCTGTACGCTTTGTCAAAATGACACAAAATTTGACACACACGTGTATCTCAATAAGATCTACAAAAAAGTCAGTGCGGGCGTATCTGTCAAATGTACGGTTAAAGGGCTATTTCGCATTTTTTGCCGATCCGCACACATTGGAATTTCGCTAACTCCTCCGAAGGCTTTCGTTCCACCGGCACCAAATTTGCTCAGGCCAATCTACACCCCATGGCCATTAAAAGTTGTACAAATCATGACGCTGCATCCCACGGTTTACGTTCTAGGGGGCGCCAAAGATAACCCAGAAATCCACATTCTTAAAAGTCGTATAACTTTTTATTTTTGTCCTCACTGGCCTCCAAGTTTTCTAGGATGATGCAATGTCCAGCCATCAACACATTTGTGAAGGAATTTTTACTCCCCAAAAGAGCGCCCCCCCATGGCAGGAGAAAAAAGTCCATTTTTTCTTGTCTCCTAAGGCGAAAATTCACACTATTGACTGTCACGCCTTTACGCTTTGTCATATTGACACAAAAATTGACACACACATGTATCTCAATAAGATCTACAAAAAAGTCAGTGCGGGCGTATCTGTCAAATGTACGGTGAAAGGGCTATTTCGCATTTTTTGCCGATCCGCACACATTGGAATTTCGCTAACTCCTCCGAAGGCTTTCGTTCCAAAGGCACCACATTTGCTGAGGCCAATCTACACCCCATGGCCATTTAAAGTTGTACAAATCATGATGCTGCACCCCACGGTTTACGTTCTAGGGGGCGCCAAAGATAACCCAAAAATCCACAGTCTTAAAAGTCTTATAACTTTTTATTTTTGTCCTCACTGGCCTCCAAGTTCTCTAGGATGATGCAATGTCCAGCCATCAACACATTTGTGAAGGAATTTTTACTCGCCAAAAGAGCCCCCCATGGCAGGAGAAAAAAGTCCATTTTTTCTTGTCTCCTAAGGCGAAAATACACACTATTGACTGTCACGCCTTTACGCTTTGTCATATTGACACAAAAATTGACACACACATGTATCTCAATAAGATCTACAAAAAAGTCAGTGCGGGCGTATCTGTCAAATGTACGGTGAAAGGGCTATTTCGCATTTTTTGCCGATCCGCACACATTGGAATTTCGCTAACTCCTCCGAAGGCTTTCGTTCCAAAGGCACCACATTTGCTGAGGCCAATCTACACCCCATGGCCATTAAAAGTTGTACAAATCATGATGCTGCACCCCACGGTTTACGTTCTAGGGGGCGCCAAAGATAACCCAAAAATCCACAGTCTTAAAAGTCTTATAACTTTTTATTTTTGTCCTCACTGGCCTCCAAGTTCTCTAGGATGATGCAATGTCCAGCCATCAACACATTTGTGAAGGAATTTTTACTCGCCAAAAGAGCGCCCCCCCATGGCAGGAGAAAAAAGTCCATTTTTTCTTGTCTCCTAAGGCGAAAATACACATTGTTGACTGTCACGCCTTTACGCTTTGTCAAAATGACACAAAATTTGACACACACATGTATCTCAATAAGATCTACAAAAAAGTCAGTGCGGGCGTATCTGTCAAATGTACGGTTAAAGGGTTATTTCGCATTTTTTGCCGATCCGCACACATTGGAATTTCGCTAACTCCTCCTAAATCTTTTGTCCCATCGGCTTCAAATTTGCTCAGGTCAATCTACACCCCATGGCCATTCAAAGTTGTACAAATCATGACGCTGCACCCCACAGTTTACGTTCTAGGGGGCGCCAAAGAGGACCCAAATATCCACATTTTTAAAAGTCTTATAACTTTTTATTTTTGTCCTCACTGGCCTCCAAGTTTTCTAGGATGATGCAATGTCCAGCCATCAACACATTTGTGAAGGAATTTTTTCTCCCCAAAAGAGCGCCCCCCCATGGCAGGAGAAAAAGTCAAGTTTTTCCTGCCCATCGCTCAATGGCTCAAACGCATCGCTCTCTCTGCAAAACGGAAAGGAGGAGCAACTTGCCATTTGGATATATACTAGCTGTGTTTGTGCCCTCACTCATGGTCCAGACTTTTTTCAAATAGGACATGTAGTTTGTCTGCAGCAAGCGTTTTGGTAGAAACTGCGCCTCCCATTCATTATAATGGGAAATGACCACAGACAAGTGCCCACACCATCTTTGGACCTTGAGTGTGACGCGATCGGGAGGGGGAGGCGGTCGCGCTGGGGGCGGCGCGACGCGGCTCGGGCCCGACAGTGCCCCACCGGGGCCCTAGTTATTATTATTATTATTTTTCCTCCGCTTTAAACTGGAAAATGGCCCACTTCCCACTGGCGAAAACTCATGAAATTTGGCAGGACGACCGGGCCTGGTGAAAAATTCGATATTCTGAAGTCGCCCAAACAATAAAATGCAAAATGGCTCCATAGCGCCCCCTAAGGTGAAAATTCACACTATTGACTGTCACGCCTGTACGCTTTGTCAAAATGACACAAAAATTGACACACACATGTATCTCAATAAGATCTACAAAAAAGTCAGTGCGGGCGTATCTGTCAAATGTACGGTTAAAGGATTATTGCGCATTTTTTGCCGATCCGCACACATTGGAATTTCGCTAACTCCTCCGAAGGCTTTCGTTCCACCGGCACCACATTTGCTCAGGCCAATCTACACCCCATGGCCATTAAAAGTTGTACAAATCATGACGCTGCACCCCACGGTTTACGTTCTAGGGGGCGCCAAAGATAACCCAAAAATCCACATTCTTAAAAGTCTAATAACTTTTTATTTTTGTCCTCACTGGCCTCCAAGTTTTCTAGGATGATGCAATGTCCAGCCATCAACACATTTGTGAAGGAATTTTTACCCCCCAAAAGAGCGCCCCCCCATGGCAGGAGAAAAAAGTCCATTTTTTCTTGTCTCCTAAGGCGAAAATTCACACTATTGACTGTCACGCCTTTACGCTTTGTCATATTGACACAAAAATTGACACACACATGTATCTCAATAAGATCTACAAAAAAGTCTATGCGCACGTATCTGTCAAATGTACGGTTAAAGGGTTATTTCGCATTTTTTGCCGATCGCACACATTGGAATTTCGCTAACTCCTCCTAAAGCTTTCGTTCCACCGGCACCAAATTTGCTCAGGCCAATCTACACCCCATGGCCATTAAAAGTTGTACAAATCATGATGCTGCACCCCACGGTTTACGTTCTAGGGGGCGCCAAAGATAACCCAAAAATCCACAGTCTTAAAAGTCTTATAACTTTTTATTTTTGTCCTCACTGGCCTCCAAGTTTTGTAGGATGATGCAATGTCCAGCCATCAACACATTTGTGAAGGAATTTTTACTCCCCAAAAGAGCGCCCCCCCATGGCAAGAGAAAAAAGTCCATTTTTCTTGTCCCATAAGGTGAAAATACACACTGTTGAGTGTCACGCCTGTACGCTTTGTCATATTGAAACAAAATTTGACAATCACGTGTATCTCAATAAGATCTACGAAAAAGTCAATGCGCACGTATCTGTAAAATGTACGGTTAAAGGGCTATTACGCATTTTTGATCGATTCGCACACATTGGAATGTGGCTGACTCCTCCTAAAGCTTTCGTTCCACCGGCACCAAATTTGCTCAGGCCAATCTACACCCCATGGCCATTAAAAGTTGTACAAATCATGACGCTGCACCCCACGGTTTACGTTCTAGGGGGCGCCAAAGATAACCCAAAAATCCACATTCTTAAAAGTCTTATAACTTTTAATTTTTGTCCTCACTGGCTTCCAAGTTTTCTAGGATGATGCAATGTCTAGCCATCAACACATTTGTGAAGGAATTTTTACTCCTCAAAAGAGCGCCCCCCCATGGCAGGAGAAAAAGTCAAGTTTTTCCTGCCCATCGCTCAATGGCTCAAACACATGTCATGTGTTCAAACTCCTCCGAAAGGAGGAGCAACTTGCCATTTGGATATATACTAGCTGTGTTTGTGCCCTCACTCATGGTCCAGACTTTTTTCAAATAGGACATGTAGTTTGTCTGCAGCAAGCGTTTTGGTAGAAACTGCGCCTCCCATTCATTATAATGGTAAATGACCACAGACAAGTGCGAGCACCATCTTTGGACCTTGAGTGTGACGCGATCGGGAGGGAGAGGCGGTCGTGTTGGGGGCGGCGCGACACAGCTCGGGCCCGCCAGTGCCCCAACGGGGCCCTAGTTCTTCTTTTTCCTCCCCTTTGAACTGGAAAATGGCCCACTTCCCACTGGCGAAAACTCATGAAATTTGGCAGGACGACCGGGCCTGGTGAAAAATTCGATATTCTGAAGTCGCCCAAACAATAAAATGCAAAATGGCTCCATAGCGCCCCCTAAGGTGGAAATTCACACTATTGACTGTCACGCCTGTACGCTTTGTCATATTGACACAAAAATTGACACACATATGTATCTCAATAAGATCTACAAAAAAGTCAGTGCGGCCGTATCTGTCAAAATTACGGTTAAAGGGTTATTTCGCATTTTTTGCCGATCCGCACACATTGGAATTTCGCTAACTCCTCCGAAGGCTTTCGTTCCACCGGCACCACATTTGCTCAGGCCAATCTACACCCCGTGGCCATTAAAAGTTATCAAAATCATGACGCTGCACCCCAAGGTTTAGGTTCTAGGGGGCGCCAAAGATAACACTAAAATCCACATATTTAAAAGTCTTATAACTTTTTATTTTTGTCCTCACTGGCCTCCAAGTTTTCTAGGATGATGCAATGTCCAGCCATCAACACATTTGTGAAGGAATTTTTACTCCCCAAAAGAGCGCCCCCCCATGGCAGGAGAAAAAAGTCCATTTTTTCTTGTCTCCTAAGGCGAAAATTCACACTATTGACTGTCACGCCTTTACGCTTTGTCATATTGACACAAAAATTGACACACACATGTATCTCAATAAGATCTACAAAAAAGTCAGTGCGGGCGTATCTGTCAAATGTACGGTGAAAGGGCTATTTCGCATTTTTTGCCGATCCGCACACATTGGAATTTCGCTAACTCCTCCGAAGGCTTTCGTTCCAAAGGCACCACATTTGCTGAGGCCAATCTACACCCCATGGCCATTTAAAGTTGTACAAATCATGATGCTGCACCCCACGGTTTACGTTCTAGGGGGCGCCAAAGATAACCCAAAAATCCACAGTCTTAAAAGTCTTATAACTTTTTATTTTTGTCCTCACTGGCCTCCAAGTTCTCTAGGATGATGCAATGTCCAGCCATCAACACATTTGTGAAGGAATTTTTACTCGCCAAAAGAGCGCCCCCCCCATGGCAGGAGAAAAAAGTCCATTTTTTCTTGTCTCCTAAGGCGAAAATACACACTATTGACTGTCACGCCTTTACGCTTTGTCATATTGACACAAAAATTGACACACACATGTATCTCAATAAGATCTACAAAAAAGTCAGTGCGGGCGTATCTGTCAAATGTACGGTGAAAGGGCTATTTCGCATTTTTTGCCGATCCGCACACATTGGAATTTCGCTAACTCCTCCGAAGGCTTTCGTTCCAAAGGCACCACATTTGCTGAGGCCAATCTACACCCCATGGCCATTAAAAGTTGTACAAATCATGATGCTGCACCCCACGGTTTACGTTCTAGGGGGCGCCAAAGATAACCCAAAAATCCACAGTCTTAAAAGTCTTATAACTTTTTATTTTTGTCCTCACTGGCCTCCAAGTTCTCTAGGATGATGCAATGTCCAGCCATCAACACATTTGTGAAGGAATTTTTACTCGCCAAAAGAGCGCCCCCCATGGCAGGAGAAAAAAGTCCATTTTTTCTTGTCTCCTAAGGCGAAAATACACATTGTTGACTGTCACGCCTTTACGCTTTGTCAAAATGACACAAAATTTGACACACACATGTATCTCAATAAGATCTACAAAAAAGTCAGTGCGGGCGTATCTGTCAAATGTACGGTTAAAGGGTTATTTCGCATTTTTTGCCGATCCGCACACATTGGAATTTCGCTAACTCCTCCTAAATCTTTTGTCCCATCGGCTTCAAATTTGCTCAGGTCAATCTACACCCCATGGCCATTCAAAGTTGTACAAATCATGACGCTGCACCCCACAGTTTACGTTCTAGGGGGCGCCAAAGAGGACCCAAATATCCACATTTTTAAAAGTCTTATAACTTTTTATTTTTGTCCTCACTGGCCTCCAAGTTTTCTAGGATGATGCAATGTCCAGCCATCAACACATTTGTGAAGGAATTTTTTCTCCCCAAAAGAGCGCCCCCCATGGCAGGAGAAAAAGTCAAGTTTTTCCTGCCCATCGCTCAATGGCTCAAACGCATCGCTCTCTCTGCAAAACGGAAAGGAGGAGCAACTTGCCATTTGGATATATACTAGCTGTGTTTGTGCCCTCACTCATGGTCCAGACTTTTTTCAAATAGGACATGTAGTTTGTCTGCAGCAAGCGTTTTGGTAGAAACTGCGCCTCCCATTCATTATAATGGGAAATGACCACAGACAAGTGCGCACACCATCTTTGGACCTTGAGTGTGACGCGATCGGGAGGGGGAGGCGGTCGCGCTGGGGGCGGCGCGACGCGGCTCGGGCCCGACAGTGCCCCACCGGGGCCCTAGTTATTATTATTATTTTTCCTCCGCTTTAAACTGGAAAATGGCCCACTTCCCACTGGCGAAAACTCATGAAATTTGGCAGGACGACCGGGCCTGGTGAAAAATTCGATATTCTGAAGTCGCCCAAACAATAAAATGCAAAATGGCTCCATAGCGCCCCCTAAGGTGAAAATTCACACTATTGACTGTCACGCCTGTACGCTTTGTCAAAATGACACAAAAATTGACACACACATGTATCTCAATAAGATCTACAAAAAAGTCAGTGCGGGCGTATCTGTCAAATGTACGGTTAAAGGATTATTGCGCATTTTTTGCCGATCCGCACACATTGGAATTTCGCTAACTCCTCCGAAGGCTTTCGTTCCACCGGCACCACATTTGCTCAGGCCAATCTACACCCCATGGCCATTAAAAGTTGTACAAATCATGACGCTGCACCCCACGGTTTACGTTCTAGGGGGCGCCAAAGATAACCCAAAAATCCACATTCTTAAAAGTCTAATAACTTTTTATTTTTGTCCTCACTGGCCTCCAAGTTTTCTAGGATGATGCAATGTCCAGCCATCAACACATTTGTGAAGGAATTTTTACCCCCCAAAAGAGCGCCCCCCCATGGCAGGAGAAAAAAGTCCATTTTTTCTTGTCCCCTAAGGTGAAAATACATATTGTTGAGTGTCACGCCTATACGCTTTGTCATATTGACACAAAATTTGACACACACGTGTATCTCAATAAGATCTACAAAAAAGTCTATGCGCACGTATCTGTCAAATGTACGGTTAAAGGGTTATTTCGCATTTTTTGCCGATCGCACACATTGGAATTTCGCTAACTCCTCCTAAAGCTTTCGTTCCACCGGCACCAAATTTGCTCAGGCCAATCTACACCCCATGGCCATTAAAAGTTGTACAAATCATGATGCTGCACCCCACGGTTTACGTTCTAGGGGGCGCCAAAGATAACCCAAAAATCCACAGTCTTAAAAGTCTTATAACTTTTTATTTTTGTCCTCACTGGCCTCCAAGTTTTGTAGGATGATGCAATGTCCAGCCATCAACACATTTGTGAAGGAATTTTTACTCCCCAAAAGAGCGCCCCCCATGGCAAGAGAAAAAAGTCCATTTTTCTTGTCCCATAAGGTGAAAATACACATTGTTGAGTGTCACGCCTGTACGCTTTGTCATATTGAAACAAAATTTGACAATCACGTGTATCTCAATAAGATCTACGAAAAAGTCAATGCGCACGTATCTGTAAAATGTACGGTTAAAGGGCTATTACGCATTTTTGATCGATTCGCACACATTGGAATGTGGCTGACTCCTCCTAAAGCTTTCGTTCCACCGGCACCAAATTTGCTCAGGCCAATCTACACCCCATGGCCATTAAAAGTTGTACAAATCATGACGCTGCACCCCACGGTTTACGTTCTAGGGGGCGCCAAAGATAACCCAAAAATCCACATTCTTAAAAGTCTTATAACTTTTAATTTTTGTCCTCACTGGCTTCCAAGTTTTCTAGGATGATGCAATGTCTAGCCATCAACACATTTGTGAAGGAATTTTTACTCCTCAAAAGAGCGCCCCCCCATGGCAGGAGAAAAAGTCAAGTTTTTCCTGCCCATCGCTCAATGGCTCAAACACATGTCATGTGTTCAAACTCCTCCGAAAGGAGGAGCAACTTGCCATTTGGATATATCCTAGCTGTGTTTGTGCCCTCACTCATGGTCCAGACTTTTTTCAAATAGGACATGTAGTTTGTCTGCAGCGAGCGTTTTGGTAGAAACTGCGCCTCCCATTCATTATAATGGTAAATGACCACAGACAAGTGCGAACACCATCTTTGGACCTTGAGTGTGACGCGATCGGGAGGGAGAGGCGGTCGTGTTGGGGGCGGCGCGACACAGCTCGGGCCCGCCAGTGCCCCAACGGGGCCCTAGTTCTTCTTTTTCCTCCCCTTTGAACTGGAAAATGGCCCACTTCCCACTGGCGAAAACTCATGAAATTTGGCAGGACGACCGGGCCTGGTGAAAAATTCGATATTCTGAAGTCGCCCAAACAATAAAATGCAAAATGGCTCCATAGCGCCCCCTAAGGTGGAAATTCACACTATTGACTGTCACGCCTGTACGCTTTGTCATATTGACACAAAAATTGACACACATATGTATCTCAATAAGATCTACAAAAAAGTCAGTGCGGCCGTATCTGTCAAAATTACGGTTAAAGGGTTATTTCGCATTTTTTGCCGATCCGCACACATTGGAATTTCGCTAACTCCTCCGAAGGCTTTCGTTCCACCGGCACCACATTTGCTCAGGCCAATCTACACCCCGTGGCCATTAAAAGTTATCAAAATCATGACGCTGCACCCCAAGGTTTAGGTTCTAGGGGGCGCCAAAGATAACACTAAAATCCACATATTTAAAAGTCTTATAACTTTTTATTTTTGTCCTCACTGGCCTCCAAGTTTTCTAGGATGATGCAATGTCCAGCCATCAACACATTTGTGAAGGAATTTTTACTCCCCAAAAGAGCGCCCCCCATGGCAGGAGAAAAAAGTCCATTTTTTCTTGTCTCCTAAGGCGAAAATTCACACTATTGACTGTCACGCCTTTACGCTTTGTCATATTGACACAAAAATTGACACACACATGTATCTCAATAAGATCTACAAAAAAGTCAGTGCGGGCGTATCTGTCAAATGTACGGTGAAAGGGCTATTTCGCATTTTTTGCCGATCCGCACACATTGGAATTTCGCTAACTCCTCCGAAGGCTTTCGTTCCAAAGGCACCACATTTGCTGAGGCCAATCTACACCCCATGGCCATTTAAAGTTGTACAAATCATGATGCTGCACCCCACGGTTTACGTTCTAGGGGGCGCCAAAGATAACCCAAAAATCCACAGTCTTAAAAGTCTTATAACTTTTTATTTTTGTCCTCACTGGCCTCCAAGTTCTCTAGGATGATGCAATGTCCAGCCATCAACACATTTGTGAAGGAATTTTTACTCGCCAAAAGAGCGCCCCCCCATGGCAGGAGAAAAAAGTCCATTTTTTCTTGTCTCCTAAGGCGAAAATACACACTATTGACTGTCACGCCTTTACGCTTTGTCATATTGACACAAAAATTGACACACACATGTATCTCAATAAGATCTACAAAAAAGTCAGTGCGGGCGTATCTGTCAAATGTACGGTGAAAGGGCTATTTCGCATTTTTTGCCGATCCGCACACATTGGAATTTCGCTAACTCCTCCGAAGGCTTTCGTTCCAAAGGCACCACATTTGCTGAGGCCAATCTACACCCCATGGCCATTAAAAGTTGTACAAATCATGATGCTGCACCCCACGGTTTACGTTCTAGGGGGCGCCAAAGATAACCCAAAAATCCACAGTCTTAAAAGTCTTATAACTTTTTATTTTTGTCCTCACTGGCCTCCAAGTTCTCTAGGATGATGCAATGTCCAGCCATCAACACATTTGTGAAGGAATTTTTACTCGCCAAAAGAGCGCCCCCCATGGCAGGAGAAAAAAGTCCATTTTTTCTTGTCTCCTAAGGCGAAAATACACATTGTTGACTGTCACGCCTTTACGCTTTGTCAAAATGACACAAAATTTGACACACACATGTATCTCAATAAGATCTACAAAAAAGTCAGTGCGGGCGTATCTGTCAAATGTACGGTTAAAGGGTTATTTCGCATTTTTTGCCGATCCGCACACATTGGAATTTCGCTAACTCCTCCTAAATCTTTTGTCCCATCGGCTTCAAATTTGCTCAGGTCAATCTACACCCCATGGCCATTCAAAGTTGTACAAATCATGACGCTGCACCCCACAGTTTACGTTCTAGGGGGCGCCAAAGAGGACCCAAATATCCACATTTTTAAAAGTCTTATAACTTTTTATTTTTGTCCTCACTGGCCTCCAAGTTTTCTAGGATGATGCAATGTCCAGCCATCAACACATTTGTGAAGGAATTTTTTCTCCCCAAAAGAGCGCCCCCCCATGGCAGGAGAAAAAGTCAAGTTTTTCCTGCCCATCGCTCAATGGCTCAAACGCATCGCTCTCTCTGCAAAACGGAAAGGAGGAGCAACTTGCCATTTGGATATATACTAGCTGTGTTTGTGCCCTCACTCATGGTCCAGACTTTTTTCAAATAGGACATGTAGTTTGTCTGCAGCAAGCGTTTTGGTAGAAACTGCGCCTCCCATTCATTATAATGGGAAATGACCACAGACAAGTGCGCACACCATCTTTGGACCTTGAGTGTGACGCGATCGGGAGGGGGAGGCGGTCGCGCTGGGGGCGGCGCGACGCGGCTCGGGCCCGACAGTGCCCCACCGGGGCCCTAGTTATTATTAGGGCCCGAGCGTAGCTGCTAAGCAGCTGCGAGAGCCCTATTATTCCTGATGGATTCTTCTTTCTTCTTCTTCTTCTTATTATTTTTCTGCCCCTTTGAACTGGAAAATGGCCCACTTCCCACTGGTGAAAAGTCATGAAATTTGGCAGGACGACCGGGCCTGGTGAAAAATTCGATATTCTGAAGTCGCCCAAAAAATCAAATGCAAAATGGCTCCATAGCGCCCCCTAAGGTGAAAAATTCACATGATTGAGTGTCACGCCTGTACGCTTTGTCAAAATGACACAAAATTTGACACACACGTGTATCTCAATAAGATCTACAAAAAAGTCAGTGCGGGCGTATCTGTCAAATGTACGGTTAAAGGGCTATTTCGCATTTTTTGCCGATCCGCACACATTGGAATTTCGCTAACTCCTCCGAAGGCTTTCGTTCCACCGGCACCAAATTTGCTCAGGCCAATCTACACCCCATGGCCATTAAAAGTTGTACAAATCATGACGCTGCATCCCACGGTTTACGTTCTAGGGGGCGCCAAAGATAACCCAGAAATCCACATTCTTAAAAGTCTAATAACTTTTTATTTTTGTCCTCACTGGCCTCCAAGTTTTCTAGGATGATGCAATGTCCAGCCATCAACACATTTGTGAAGGAATTTTTACTCCCCAAAAGAGCGCCCCCCCATGGCAGGAGAAAAAAGTCCATTTTTTCTTGTCTCCTAAGGCGAAAATTCACACTATTGACTGTCACGCCTTTACGCTTTGTCATATTGACACAAAAATTGACACACACATGTATCTCAATAAGATCTACAAAAAAGTCAGTGCGGGCGTATCTGTCAAATGTACGGTGAAAGGGCTATTTCGCATTTTTTGCCGATCCGCACACATTGGAATTTCGCTAACTCCTCCGAAGGCTTTCGTTCCAAAGGCACCACATTTGCTGAGGCCAATCTACACCCCATGGCCATTTAAAGTTGTACAAATCATGATGCTGCACCCCACGGTTTACGTTCTAGGGGGCGCCAAAGATAACCCAAAAATCCACAGTCTTAAAAGTCTTATAACTTTTTATTTTTGTCCTCACTGGCCTCCAAGTTCTCTAGGATGATGCAATGTCCAGCCATCAACACATTTGTGAAGGAATTTTTACTCGCCAAAAGAGCGCCCCCCCATGGCAGGAGAAAAAAGTCCATTTTTTCTTGTCTCCTAAGGCGAAAATACACACTATTGACTGTCACGCCTTTACGCTTTGTCATATTGACACAAAAATTGACACACACATGTATCTCAATAAGATCTACAAAAAAGTCAGTGCGGGCGTATCTGTCAAATGTACGGTGAAAGGGCTATTTCGCATTTTTTGCCGATCCGCACACATTGGAATTTCGCTAACTCCTCCGAAGGCTTTCGTTCCAAAGGCACCACATTTGCTGAGGCCAATCTACACCCCATGGCCATTAAAAGTTGTACAAATCATGATGCTGCACCCCACGGTTTACGTTCTAGGGGGCGCCAAAGATAACCCAAAAATCCACAGTCTTAAAAGTCTTATAACTTTTTATTTTTGTCCTCACTGGCCTCCAAGTTCTCTAGGATGATGCAATGTCCAGCCATCAACACATTTGTGAAGGAATTTTTACTCGCCAAAAGAGCGCCCCCCCATGGCAGGAGAAAAAAGTCCATTTTTTCTTGTCTCCTAAGGCGAAAATACACATTGTTGACTGTCACGCCTTTACGCTTTGTCAAAATGACACAAAATTTGACACACACATGTATCTCAATAAGATCTACAAAAAAGTCAGTGCGGGCGTATCTGTCAAATGTACGGTTAAAGGGTTATTTCGCATTTTTTGCCGATCCGCACACATTGGAATTTCGCTAACTCCTCCTAAATCTTTTGTCCCATCGGCTTCAAATTTGCTCAGGTCAATCTACACCCCATGGCCATTCAAAGTTGTACAAATCATGACGCTGCACCCCACAGTTTACGTTCTAGGGGGCGCCAAAGAGGACCCAAATATCCACATTTTTAAAAGTCTTATAACTTTTTATTTTTGTCCTCACTGGCCTCCAAGTTTTCTAGGATGATGCAATGTCCAGCCATCAACACATTTGTGAAGGAATTTTTCTCCCCAAAAGAGCGCCCCCCATGGCAGGAGAAAAAGTCAAGTTTTTCCTGCCCATCGCTCAATGGCTCAAACGCATCGCTCTCTCTGCAAAACGGAAAGGAGGAGCAACTTGCCATTTGGATATATACTAGCTGTGTTTGTGCCCTCACTCATGGTCCAGACTTTTTTCAAATAGGACATGTAGTTTGTCTGCAGCAAGCGTTTTGGTAGAAACTGCGCCTCCCATTCATTATAATGGGAAATGACCACAGACAAGTGCGCACACCATCTTTGGACCTTGAGTGTGACGCGATCGGGAGGGGGAGGCGGTCGCGCTGGGGGCGGCGCGACGCGGCTCGGGCCCGACAGTGCCCCACCGGGGCCCTAGTTATTATTTTTCCTCCGCTTTAAACTGGAAAATGGCCCACTTCCCACTGGCGAAAACTCATGAAATTTGGCAGGACGACCGGGCCTGGTGAAAAATTCGATATTCTGAAGTCGCCCAAACAATAAAATGCAAAATGGCTCCATAGCGCCCCCTAAGGTGAAAATTCACACTATTGACTGTCACGCCTGTACGCTTTGTCAAAATGACACAAAAATTGACACACACATGTATCTCAATAAGATCTACAAAAAAGTCAGTGCGGGCGTATCTGTCAAATGTACGGTTAAAGGATTATTGCGCATTTTTTGCCGATCCGCACACATTGGAATTTCGCTAACTCCTCCGAAGGCTTTCGTTCCACCGGCACCACATTTGCTCAGGCCAATCTACACCCCATGGCCATTAAAAGTTGTACAAATCATGACGCTGCACCCCACGGTTTACGTTCTAGGGGGCGCCAAAGATAACCCAAAAATCCACATTCTTAAAAGTCTAATAACTTTTTATTTTTGTCCTCACTGGCCTCCAAGTTTTCTAGGATGATGCAATGTCCAGCCATCAACACATTTGTGAAGGAATTTTTACCCCCAAAAGAGCGCCCCCCATGGCAGGAGAAAAAAGTCCATTTTTTCTTGTCCCCTAAGGTGAAAATACATATTGTTGAGTGTCACGCCTATACGCTTTGTCATATTGACACAAAATTTGACACACACGTGTATCTCAATAAGATCTACAAAAAAGTCTATGCGCACGTATCTGTCAAATGTACGGTTAAAGGGTTATTTCGCATTTTTTGCCGATCGCACACATTGGAATTTCGCTAACTCCTCCTAAAGCTTTCGTTCCACCGGCACCAAATTTGCTCAGGCCAATCTACACCCCATGGCCATTAAAAGTTGTACAAATCATGATGCTGCACCCCACGGTTTACGTCCTAGGGGGCGCCAAAGATAACCCAAAAATCCACAGTCTTAAAAGTCTTATAACTTTTTATTTTTGTCCTCACTGGCCTCCAAGTTTTGTAGGATGATGCAATGTCCAGCCATCAACACATTTGTGAAGGAATTTTTACTCCCCAAAAGAGCGCCCCCCATGGCAAGAGAAAAAAGTCCATTTTTCTTGTCCCATAAGGTGAAAATACACATTGTTGAGTGTCACGCCTGTACGCTTTGTCATATTGAAACAAAATTTGACAATCACGTGTATCTCAATAAGATCTACGAAAAAGTCAATGCGCACGTATCTGTAAAATGTACGGTTAAAGGGCTATTACGCATTTTTGATCGATTCGCACACATTGGAATGTGGCTGACTCCTCCTAAAGCTTTCGTTCCACCGGCACCAAATTTGCTCAGGCCAATCTACACCCCATGGCCATTAAAAGTTGTACAAATCATGACGCTGCACCCCACGGTTTACGTTCTAGGGGGCGCCAAAGATAACCCAAAAATCCACATTCTTAAAAGTCTTATAACTTTTAATTTTTGTCCTCACTGGCTTCCAAGTTTTCTAGGATGATGCAATGTCTAGCCATCAACACATTTGTGAAGGAATTTTTACTCCTCAAAAGAGCGCCCCCCCATGGCAGGAGAAAAAGTCAAGTTTTTCCTGCCCATCGCTCAATGGCTCAAACACATGTCATGTGTTCAAACTCCTCCGAAAGGAGGAGCAACTTGCCATTTGGATATATCCTAGCTGTGTTTGTGCCCTCACTCATGGTCCAGACTTTTTTCAAATAGGACATGTAGTTTGTCTGCAGCGAGCGTTTTGGTAGAAACTGCGCCTCCCATTCATTATAATGGTAAATGACCACAGACAAGTGCGAGCACCATCTTTGGACCTTGAGTGTGACGCGATCGGGAGGGAGAGGCGGTCGTGTTGGGGGCGGCGCGACACAGCTCGGGCCCGCCAGTGCCCCAACGGGGCCCTAGTTCTTCTTTTTCCTCCCCTTTGAACTGGAAAATGGCCCACTTCCCACTGGCGAAAACTCATGAAATTTGGCAGGACGACCGGGCCTGGTGAAAAATTCGATATTCTGAAGTCGCCCAAACAATAAAATGCAAAATGGCTCCATAGCGCCCCCTAAGGTGGAAATTCACACTATTGACTGTCACGCCTGTACGCTTTGTCATATTGACACAAAAATTGACACACATATGTATCTCAATAAGATCTACAAAAAAGTCAGTGCGGCCGTATCTGTCAAAATTACGGTTAAAGGGTTATTTCGCATTTTTTGCCGATCCGCACACATTGGAATTTCGCTAACTCCTCCGAAGGCTTTCGTTCCACCGGCACCACATTTGCTCAGGCCAATCTACACCCCGTGGCCATTAAAAGTTATCAAAATCATGACGCTGCACCCCAAGGTTTAGGTTCTAGGGGGCGCCAAAGATAACACTAAAATCCACATATTTAAAAGTCTTATAACTTTTTATTTTTGTCCTCACTGGCCTCCAAGTTTTCTAGGATGATGCAATGTCCAGCCATCAACACATTTGTGAAGGAATTTTTACTCCCCAAAAGAGCGCCCCCCCATGGCAGGAGAAAAAAGTCCATTTTTTCTTGTCCCCTAAGGTGAAAATACACATTGTTGAGTGTCACGCCTATACGCTTTGTCAAAATGACACAAAAATTGACACACACATGTAACTCAATAAGATCTACAAAAAAGTCCATGCGCGCGTATCTGTCAAATGTACAGTTAAAGGGTTATTCCGCATTTTTTGCCGATACGCACACATTGGAATTTCGCTAACTCCTCCGAAGGCTTTCGTTCCACCGGCACCACATTTGCTCAGGCCAATCTACACCCCATGGCCATTAAAAGTTATTCAAATCATGATGCTGCACCCCATGGTTTAGGTTCTAGGGGGCGCCAAAAATAACCCAAAAATCCACATTCTTAAATGTTTTATAACTTTTTATTTTTGTCCTCACTGGCCTCCAAGTTTTCTAGGATGATGCAATGTCCAGCCATCAACACATTTGTGAAGGAATTTTTACTCCCCAAAAGAGCGCCCCCCCATGGTAGGAGAAAAAAGTCAATTTTTTCTTGTCCCCTTACATGAAAATACACATTGTTGAGTGTCACGCCTGAACGCTTTGTCATATTGACACAAAAATTGACAATCATGTGTATCTCAATTAGATCTACGAAAAAGTCAAAGAGCGCGTATCTTTATAATGTACGGTTAAAGGGCTATTTTGCATTTTTTGCCGATTCGCACACATTGGAATGTGGCTATCTCCTCCTAAGGCTTTCGTCCCACCGATACCAAATTTGCTCAGGGCAATCTACACCCCATGCCCATTCAAAGTTGTAAAAATCATGACGCTGCACCCCACGGTTTACGTTCTAGGGGGCGCCAAAGATGACCTCAAAAATCCACATTCTTAAAAGTCATTTTGGCCACTGCAGGAGTACAGAGTACTGCAGTTCTAGGGGGCGCCAAAGATGACCCAAAAATCCACATTCTTAAAAGTCTTTTTGGCCACTGCAGGAGTACAGAGTACTGCAGGATACACACACATATACACACACGCCAACATACACACACACACACACACACACACACAGACACACACACACACACACTCAGAGTCTGTTTTTTAGCACCTGCAAAAACATGCTGTTTACATATTTGACAAGAATGCAGAGGCTTCCTTTTGCCCCTGAAAAAAATCAAATTTCAAACACAACTTGACTGTTCATTTCTCCAAAAGACAACCATGAAGCTCCATTTCAAACCTGAAGCAGATAGTTGGTGCATGTGTACAGTAACCTGAGGGGAGTGAGGTGACTATTTCTGAGGAGAACATGAGCAGTGAAGATACACCTTGGAGCTAGAACAGGGACGTGCACATGATTATACAGGGGCAGGGGCTCAAGTTTTTTCCAGTCATTTATACAATATGGAAATTAATGTGAAATTAAACCACAAATATGTGTGATGAACTGTTTTTAAAACTTAAACTTCAAATAAAAATTGTAAACTTCAAAACATATGCAAATTTTTAACAAAGAACATAGTAATTTACCTCTATTTACATCAAAATGCAGGCAATGGCCCAGGCGTTCTTTGTAAAATTATTTACAAAACACTGTATAGTCTCACAAATGTCACTTTTTATTTATGCCACTACAAAAAAACATGATGTAAATGATGCATGATGTAAAACATGATGTAAAAAACTTGTGTAGATCCTCCTCTATGTTAGTCCATGTGTAATTTTTCCATAATTCTTTGTTTTTTGCACCATTTTTGTTAGTGTAACTGAAGATTGTGCTGACAGTGTCTATGGCACAAAAAAAAAAATAAATAAAATGCCTCAACATGAACCCCTGGTGGTCTCTGAGGGTGAAACCTGCTAACTGCTGCAGCTCTGTCAGCTTCAGTCTCCCATGCAGAGCTCTGAGCGCATGTGTGGCTCTGCACCCTTAGCAGCGTTGCTAACTCTTCAGTAAGGAAAGCCTGCTTCATGTCAGAGTCTCTAAACTCCAGAAGAAGTCGATAAAAGTCCCTTTCTTTCTAAAAAAAAGTCGTTAGGGGGTCTGAAAAGTCATTGAATCTAACAACAAAGTCGCTAGGTTTGCAACTACGTGTCCCAGACTGCATCCCTGCTGAGAGTCCCTCCCTTCTCATGTTGCAGGAAGAAAGTTAGCGCCCGCCCCTTGTCAATCAGTCACCATATAATTTTGGATTGGTTGTTGTGGTGAAGTTTTCCACCAATAGGAGAGATGTTGTGGTGTGTTTTTTTTTCTTTTGGCAAGCCTTTTCTGCCTGTAAGACCTGTCGCTAATGTCTGCATGCTATGTTTTCCTGTCTCATACAGCGCGATCGAGCGCCTTACGTGATCAAAATAAGCAGAAAAAAAGTATCGCGGACATAATTTATCATAACTCTGGTTTTATTTGGCCTATCAACACAATTTAAAAACTGGTATATAGGTTGAGGTCCTCACTTTTGAGATAAGTTGAAATGGAGAGTCAACGAGGCTCCGTCTTGCAGCTACATCCGGTTAAATATGTCATGTGACTTGAACGCACACACAGACACACACACACGCACACACACACACACACACACACACACACACACACACACACACTCAGAGTCTGGTTTTTAGCACCTGCAAAAACATGCTATTTACATATTTGACAAGAATGCAGAGGCTCCTTTTGCCCCTGAAAAAAATCAAATTTCAAACACAACTTGACTGGTCATTTCTCCAAAAGACAACCATGAAGCTCCATCCAAACCTGAAGCAGGCAGTTGGTGCATGCAGTAGCGGTTCGAGGCACGGGCGAACAGGGCAGCCGCCCGGGGCGGCATTTGTGTTATGACTCATGGGGGGCGGCACGAGCACTTCTAAAAAATAAAATAAAAGATAATGATAATAAATCTTAACCGCAAAGAGGTTTTGTATCAACTCTTGTTGTCAAATTGGCGCCCCCCCCCCCCCGCTGCTGTAGGCGCCCCTGCTTGCTCCGAAGGTGCTGCACAGAGGCTGACAGACTGTGTGAGACGAGGTGGGGAGAGAGTCGCGGGGGCGACAGCTCTCCTCTGTGTACGCATGTCAGCATATCAGCGGGAGCGCGGCTGCGCATTTTTACTCTGCCGGGAGCGCGGACACGTCATTTTGTAACATTCTGTAGTTTTTTAATCATTTCTGGAGTCGTGGTGAATGAAATCACCGTACCCGTCTGCCTTTGATAGGCGAATAAAGCGCTCGGGTTCATGCTCGGATCTTGCTACGTGCTTGATGAGCTTCATGAGTGAAGTAAACAATGACGGAGGCAGAGAGCAGCTTAAGAGGAGAAACATCCAGCAGTGTGAACAAACTCTTCATATAGAGTGCTTTGGCTCACACTATCAGTGTTTTCTGTGAGTGTTGAATGACTTTGGGTGAGAACAGAGATAAACACACTGTCAGCCACGTATTTATTTATTCATTTTTTAGTTTTTAGTTCTGCTTTTGTACTGGCACTATACTGGGGCAGCTGTATACCCTTTCAACACCTTATTTTCTATATTTACATTTGTATTGAATGGACACTTTATCATGACTGCCACTTTATTTTACAGAAAGCAAATTATTTGTCATTCTCCAGTGCAGAGCCTTTACTTTTATTTATACAGCCGCTTCATTTCATTTAAGTTTGTTTGTTCAAGGTTTTCAAAAATGTGATGAAGGTTCGCAAAACTAAAAGAGAGCTTTCTTGAAAGCCACATGTATAAGCTCTCAAATACTTTTTCAATTTTGTTTCTATCTACTACAGAGGCCGAGATAGCAGCTTTTTTGTAAACCTTAACACGTCAGAAAAGCTCAGGATCTGGGGGCCCTTCTCAAAATGGCCCTCAGGATTGTGTTTTTTTCTATTGAAGGATTTCTGCAATTGAGAAATTATTTTTGTTGTTATAATCATAAAAATACTACATAATAATACAAAACTCTCTTTTTGTGTTTGTGTGTTGGGGGGGGGGGCAGGCACTTGGAGGGGTGCTCGCCCGGGGAGTAATTTGGTCTAGAACCGCCACTGGGTGCATGTGTACAGTAACCTGAGGGGAGTGAGGTGAGTGCTTCTGAGGAGAACATGAGCAGTGAAGATTCACCTTGGAGCTAGAACAGAGACATGCACATGATCATACAGGGGCAGGGGCTCAAGTTTTTTCGAGTCGTTTATACAATATGGAAATTAATGTGAAATTAAAACACAAAGTATTAATAGAAAGGTAATGACTGTCCTGTGTAGGTGACAGTGATATCCAATAGGCTAGGCACTCACGAGGCTGGCTGTGGCAAGTGTAAGTGAAAGCAACATGCACTGGCAGGAAGAACAGCAAACGCCGATGAAGGAAAAGGGTCTTTGCAGTGATGGGCGTTACCAGAGAGGGCGATGGCCAGAGGACACAAATGGGACGGGGAGGCAGCACGTTGGGGGGGGGACGCGACACAGCTCGGGCCCGCCAGTGCCCCAACGGGGTCCTAGTTAGGGCCCGAGCCAGCTGCAGAGCAGCCGGGCGTAGGCCCTATTATTCCCCAAGTGGTTTTTCTTTGTTTCTTTCTTTCTTTTTTCTTTTTCCTCCCCTTTGAACTGGAAAATGGCCCACTTCCCACTGGCGAAAACTCATGAAATTTGGCAGGATGACCGGGCCTGGTGAAAAATTTGATATTCCGAAGTCGCCCAAACAAGAAAATGCAAAATGGCTCCATAGCGCCCCCTAAGGTGAAAATTCACACTATTGACTGTCACGCCTGTACGCTTTGGCAAAATGACACAAAAATTGACACACACATGTATCTCAATAAGATCTACAAAAAAGTCAGTGCGGTCGTATCTGTCAAATGTACGGTTAAAGGGTTATTGCGCATTTTTTGCCGATCCGCACACATTGGAATTTCGCTAACTCCTCCGAAGGCTTTCGTTCCACCGGCACCACATTTGCTCAGGCCAATCTACACCCCGTGGCCATTAAAAGTTATCAAAATCATGACGCTGCACCCCAAGGTTTAGGTTCTAGGGGGCGCCAAAGATAACACTAAAATCCACATATTTAAAAGTCTTATAACTTTTTATTTTTGTCCTCACTGGCCTCCAAGTTTTCTAGGATGATGCAATGTCCAGCCATCAACACATTTGTGAAGGAATTTTTACTCCCCAAAAGAGCGCCCCCCCATGGCAGGAGAAAAAAGTCCATTTTTTCTTGTCCCCTAAGGTGAAAATTCACACTATTGACTGTCACGCCTGTACGCTTTGTCAAAATGACACAAAAATTGACACACACATGTATCTCAATAAGATCTACAAAAAAGTCAATGCGCGCGTATCTGTCTAATGTACGGTTAAAGGGTTATTTCGCATTTTTTGCCGATCCGCACACATTGGAATTTCGCTAACTCCTCCGAAGGCTTTCGTTCCACCGGCACCACATTTGCTCAGGCCAATCTACACCCCATGGCCATTAAAAGTTATTCAAATCATGACGCTGCACCCCACGATTTACGTTCTAGGGGGCGCCAAAGATAACCCAAAAATCCACATTTTTAAAAGTCTTATAACTTTTTATTTTTGTCCTCACTGGCCTCCAAGTTTTCTAGGATGATGCAATGTCCAGCCATCAACACATTTGTGAAGGAATTTTTACTCCCCAAAAGAGCGCCCCCCCATGGCAGGAGAAAAAAGTCCATTTTTTCTTGTCCCCTAAGGTGAAAATACACATTGTTGACTGTCACGCCTGTACGCTTTGGCAAAATGACACAAAAATTGACAATCATGTGTATCTCAATTAGATCTACGAAAAAGTCAAAGAGCGCGTATCTGTATAATGTACGGTAAAAGGGCTATTTTGCATTTTTTGCCGATTCGCACACATTGGAATTTCGCTAACTCCTCCTAAGGCTTTCGTCCCACTGACACCAAATTTGCTCAGGCCAATCTACACTCCATGGCCATTCAAAGTTGTAAAAATCATGACGCTGCACCCCACGGTTTACGTTTTAGGGGGCGCCAAAGATGACCCAAATATACATTACAGTAGACAAAGTAGTTTTGCCCACTGAGTGGCGCCAAAGGGACTTGTCTGTGGAGTCTGTGAGTCACTATTGGCCGTTTTTGACTACTTTAGATTTTACCTTTATATTTCCTCTTACAAAATTTTTACCTTGCCTTGCCTGGTATCATTTTTTTCAGCACAACCTCACCTGTGTCAATTTACAGTTATTTTACCATTTTGACATACTATATTTACACATTGGACCCAAATTCACACACAAAACATAAAATCAGAGTGGAAAAAAGTAACTTTTTTACTGTGAAAACCACAAATATGTGTGATGAACTGTTTTTAAAACTTAAACTTCAAATAAAAATTGTAAACTTCAAAACATATGCAAATTTTTAACAAAGAACATAGTAATTTACCTCTATTGACATCAAAATGCAGGCAATGGCCCAGGTGTTCTTTGTAAAATTATTTACAAAACACTGTATAGTCTCACAAATGTCACTTTTTATTTATGCCACTACAAAAAAACATGATGTAAATGATGCATGATGTAAAACATGATGTAAAAAACTTGTGTAGATCCTCCTCTATGTTAGTCCATGTGTAATTTTTCCATAATTCTTTGTTTTTTGCAGCATTTTTGTTAGTGTAACTGCAGATTGTGCTGACAGTGTCTATGGCAAAAAAAAAAAAAAAAAACTGAAAATGCCTCAACATGAACCCCTGGTGGTCTCTGAGGGGGAAACCTGCTAACTGCTGCAGCTGTGTCAGCTTCAGTCTCCCATGCAGAGCTCGGAGCGCATGTGTGGCTCTGCACCCTTAGCAGCGTTGCTAACTCCTCAGTAAGGAAAGCCTGCTTCATGTCAGAGTCTCTAAACTCCAGAAGAAGTCGATAAAAGTCACTTTCTTTCTAAAAAAAGTCGTTAGGGGGTCTGAAAAGTCATTGAATCTAACAACAAAGTCGCTAGGTTTGCAACTACGTGTCCCAGACTGCATCCCTGCTGAGAGTCCCTCCCTCCCTTCTCATATTGCAGGAAGAACGTAAGTTCCCGCCCCTTGTCAATCAGTCACCATATAATTTTGGATTGGTTGTTGTGGTGAAGTTTTCCACCAATAGGAGAGATGTTGTGGTGTGTATTTTTTTTCCTTTGGCAAGCCTTTTCCGCCTGTAAGACCTGTCGCTAATGTCTGCATGCTATGTTTTCCTGTCTCATACAGCGCGATCGAGCGCCGAACGTGATCAAAATAAGCAGAAAACAAGTATCGCGGACATAATTTATCATAACTCTGGTTTTATTTGGCCTATCAACACAATTTAAAAACTGGTATATAGGTTGAGGTCCTCACATTTGAGATAAATTGAAACGGAGAGTCAACGAGGCTCCGTCTTGCAGCTACATCCGGTTAAATATGTCATGTGACTTGAACGCACACACACACACACACACAGACACACACACACGCACACACACACACTCAGAGTCTGGTTTGTAGCACCTGCAAAAACATGCTATTTACATATTTGACAAGAATGCAGAGGCTCCTTTTGCCCCTGAAAAAAATCAAATTTCAAACACAACTTGACTGGTCATTTCTCCAAAAGACAACCATGAAGCTCCATCCAAACCTGAAGCAGGCAGTTGGTGCATGTGTACAGTAACCTGAGGGGAGTGAGGTGACTGCTTCTGAGGAGAACATGAGCAGTGAAGATTTACCTTAGAGCTAGAACAGAGACGTGCACATGATTATACAGGGGCAGGGGCTCAAGTTTTTTCCAGTCGTTTATACAATTTGGAAATTAATGTGAAATTAAAAAACAAAGTATTAATAGAAAGGTAATGACTGTCCTGTGTAGGTGACAGTGATATCCAATAGGCTAGGCACTCACGAGGCTGGCTGTGGCAAGTGTAAGTGAAAGCAACACGCACTGGCAGGAAGAACAGCAAACGCCGATGAAGGAAAAGGGTCTTTGCAGTGATGGGCGTTACCAAAGAGGGCGATGGCCAGAGGACACAAATGGGACGGGGAGGCAGCGCGTTGGGGGGGGACGCGACACGGCTCGGGCCCGCCAGTGCCCCAACGGGGTCCTAGTTATTATTTTTCCTCCCCTTTGAACTGGAAAATGGCCCACTTCCCACTGGCGAAAACTCATGAAATTTGGCAGGACGACCGGGCCTGGTGAAAAATTTGATATTCCGAAGTCGCCCAAACAAGAAAATGCAAAATGGCTCCATAGCGCCCCCTAAGGTGAAAATTCACACTATTGACTGTCACGCCTGTACGCTTTGTCAAAATGACACAAAAATTGACACACACATGTATCTCAATAAGATCTACAAAAAAGTCAGTGCGGGCGTATCTGTCAAATGTACGGTTAAAGGGTTATTTCGCATTTTTTGCCGATCCGCACACATTGGAATTTCGCTAACTCCTCCGAAGGCTTTCGTTCCACCGGCACCACATTTGCTCAGGCCAATCTACACCCCATGGCCATTAAAAGTTATTCAAATCATGACGCTGCACCCCACGGTTTAGGTTCTAGGGGGCGCCAAAGATAACCCTAAGATCCACATATTTAAAAGTCTTATAACTTTTTATTTTTGCCGTCACTGGCCTCCAAGTTTTCTAGGATGATGCAATGTCCAGCCATCAACACATTTGTGAAGGAATTTTTACTCCCCAAAAGAGCGCCCCCCCATGGCAGGAGAAAAAAGTCCATTTTTTCTTGTCCCCTAAGGTGAAAATACACATTGTTGAGTGTAACACCTGTACGCTTTGGCAAAATGACACAAAAATTGACACACACATGTATCTCAATAAGATCTACGAAAAAGTCAGTGCGCGCGTATCTGTCAAATGTACGGTTAAAGGGTTATTCCGCATTTTTTGCCGATCAGCACACATTGGAATTTCGCTAACTCCTCCGAAGGCTTTCATTCCACCGGTACCACATTTGCTCAGGCCAATCTACACCCCATGGCCATTAAAAGTTATTCAAATCATGACGCTGCATCCCACGGTTTAGGTTCTAGGGGGCGCCAAAGATAACCCTAAAATCCACATATTTAAAAGTCTTATAACTTTTTATTTTTGTCCTCACTGGCCTCCAAGTTTTCTAGGATGATGCAATGTCCAGCCATCAACACATTTGTGAAGGAATTTTTACTCCCCAAAAGAGCGCCCCCCCATGGCAGGAAAAAAAAGCCAATTTTTTCTTGTCCCCTAAGGTGGAAATTCACACTATTGACTGTCACGCCTGTACGCTTTATCATATTGACACAAAAATTGACACACATATGTATCTCAATAAGATCTACAAAAGAGTCGATTCGCGCATATCTGTCAAATGTACGGTTAAAGGGCTATTTTGCATTTTTTGCCGATTCGCACACATTGGAATGTGGCTAACTCCTCCTAAGGCTTTCGTCCCACTGACACCAAATTTGCTCAGGCCAATCTACACCCCATGGCCATTCAAAGTTGTAAAAATCATGACGCTGCACCCCACGGTTTACGTTCTAGGGGGCGCCAAAGATGACCCAAAAATCCACATTCTTCAAAGAATCCACATCCCCCCCCCCCCATATGGCAGGAGAAAAAGTTAAGTTTTTCCTGCCCATCGCTCAATGGCTCAATCGCATCGCTCTCCAGGCAACACCGTAAGGAGGAGCAACCTGCCATTTCGATATATCATAGCTGTGTTTGTGCCCTCACTCATGGTCCAGACTTTTTTCAAATAGGACATGAAGTTTGTCTGCAGCGAGTGTTTTGGTAGAAACTGCGCCTCCCATTCATTATAATAGGAAATGACCACAGATAAGTGCGCACACCATCTTTGGATCTTGAGTGTGACGCGATCGGGAGGAGGAGGCGGTCGCGCTGGGGGCGGCGCGACACGGCTCGGGCCCGACAGTGCCCCAACGGGGTCCTAGTTAGGGCCCGAGCCAGCTGCAGAGCAGCCGGGCGTAGGCCCTATTATTCCCCAAGTGGTTTTTCTTTGTTTCTTTCTTTCTTTAGGGCCCGAGCCAGCTGCAGAGCAGCCGGGCGTAGGCCCTATTATTCCCCAAGTGGTTTTTCTTTGTTTCTTTCTTTCTTTTTTCTTTTTCCTCCCCTTTGAACTGGAAAATGGCCCACTTCCCACTGGCGAAAACTCATGAAATTTGGCAGGACGACCGGGCCTGGTGAAAAATTCGATATTCTGAAGTCGCCCAAACAAGAAAATGCAGAATGGCTCCATAGCGCCCCCTAAGGTAAAAATTCACACTATTGACTGTCACGCCTGTACGCTTTGTCATATTGACACAAAAATTGACACACACATGTATCTCAATAAGATCTACAAAAAAGTCAGTGCGGCCGTATCTGTCAAATGTACGGTTAAAGGGTTATTTCGCATTTTTTTCCGATCCGCACACATTGGAATTTCGCTAACTCCTCCGAAGGCTTTCGTTCCACCGGCACCACATTTGCTCAGGCCAATCTACACCCCGTGGCCATTAAAAGTTATCAAAATCATGACGCTGCACCCCAAGGTTTAGGTTCTAGGGGGCGCCAAAGATAACACTAAAATCCACATATTTAAAAGTCTTATAACTTTTTATTTTTGTCCTCACTGGCCTCCAAGTTTTCTAGGATGATGCAATGTACAGCCATCAACACATTTGTGAAGGAATTTTTACTCCCCAAAAGAGCGCCCCCCCATGGCAGGAGAAAAAAGTCCATTTTTTCTTGTTCCCTAAGGTGAAAATACACATTGTTGAGTGTCACGCCTATACGCTTTGTCAAAATGACACAAAAATTGACACACACATGTAACTCAATAAGATCTACGAAAAAGTCAATGTGCGCGTATCTGTCAAATGTACGGTTAAAGGGTTATTCCGCATTTTTTGCCGATCCGCACACATTGGAATGTGGCTAACTCCTCCTAAGGCTTTCGTTCCACCGGCACCACATTTGCTCAGGACAATCTACACCCCATGGCCATTAAAAGTTATTCAAATCATGACGCTGCACCCCACGGTTTAGGTTCTAGGGGGCGCCAAAGATAACCCTAAAATCCACATATTTAAAAGTCTTATAACTTTTTATTTTTGTCCTCACTGGCCTCCAAGTTTTCTAGGATGATGCAATGTCCAGCCATCAACACATTTGTGAAGGAATTTTTACTCCCCAAAAGAGCGCCCCCCCATGGCAGGAGAAAAAAGTCCATTTTTTCTTGTCCCCTAAGGTGAAAATACACATTGTTGAGTGTAACACCTGTACGCTTTGGCAAAATGACACAAAAATTGACACACACATGTATCTCAAAAAGATCTACGAAAAAGTCAATGCGCGCGTATCTGTCAAATGTATGGTTAAAGGGTTATTCTGCATTTTTTGCCGATCCGCACACATTGGAATTTCGCTAACTCCTCCGAAGGCTTTCGTTCCACCGGCACCACATTTGCTCAGGCCAATTTACACCCCATGGCCATTAAAAGTTATTCAAATCATGACGCTGCACCCCACGGTTTAGGTTCTAGGGGGCGCCAAAGATAACCCTAAAATCCACATATTTAAAAGTCTTATAACTTTTTATTTTTGTCCCCACTGGCCTCCAAGTTTTCTAGGATGATGCAATGTCCAGCCATCAACACATTTGTGAAGGAATTTTTACTCGCCAAAAGAGCGCCCCCCCCATGGCAGGAGAAAAAAGTCCATTCTTTCTTGTCCACTAAGGTGAAAATACACATTGTTGAGTGCTACGCCTGTATGTTTTGTCGTATTGACACAAAATTTTACATACACGTGTATTTCAATAAGATCTTCGAAAAAGTCAATGGCCACGTATCTGTAAAATGTACGGTTAAAGGGTTATTTCGCATTTTTTGCAGATTCGCACACATTGGAATTTCGCTAACTCCTCCGAAGGCTTTCGTTCCACTGGCACCACATTTGCTCAGGCCAATCTACACCCCATGGCCATTAAAAGTTATTCAAATCATGACGCTGCACCCCACGGTTTAGGTTCTAGGGGGCGCCAAAGATAACCCTAAAATCCACATATTTAAAAGTCTTATAACTTTTTATTTTTGTCCTCACTGGCCTCCATGTTTTCTAGGATGATGCAATGTCCAGCCATCAACACATTTGTGAAGGAGTTTTTTCTCGTTAAAAGAGCGCCCCCCCATGGCAGGAGAATAAAGTCAAGTTTTTCCTGTTCATCATTCAATGGCTCAAACGCACTGCTCTCTCGGCAAAAGCGAAAGGAGGAGCAACTTGCCATTTGGATATATCTTTGCTGTGTTTGTGCCCTCACTCATGGTCCAGACTTTTTTCAAATAGGACATGGAGTTTTTCTGCAGCGAGCGTTTTGGTAGAAACTGCGCCTCCCGTTCATTATAATGGTAAATGACCACAAACAAGTGCGCACACCATCTTTGGACCTTGAGTGTGACGCGATCGGGAGGGGGAGGCGGTCGCGCTGGGGGCGGCGCGACATGGCTCGGGCCCGACAGTGCCCCACCGGGGCCCTAGTTAGGGCCCGAGCGTAGCTGCTAAGCAGCTGCGAGAGCCCTATTATTCCCCAAGGGGTTTTTCTTTGTTTCTTTCTTTCTTTCTTTCTTCTTTTTCCTCCCCTTTGAACTGGAAAATGGCCCACTTCCCACTGGCGAAAACTCAGGAAATTTGGCAGGACGACCGGGCCTGGTGAAAAATTCGATATTCTGAAGTCGCCCAAACAATAAAATGCAAAATGGCTCCATAGCGCCCCCTAAGGTGGAAATTCACACTATTGACTGTCACGCCTGTACGCTTTGTCATATTGACACAAAAATTGACACACATATGTATCTCAATAAGATCTACAAAAAAGTCAGTGCGGGCGTATCTGTCAAATGTACGGTTTATGGGTTATTTTGCATTTTTTGCAGATCTGCACACATTGGAATTTCGCTAACTCCTCCGAAGGCTTTCGTTCCACCGGCACCACATTTGCTCAGGCCAATCTACACCCCGTGGCCATTAAAAGTTATTCAAATCATGACGCTGCAACCCACGGTTTAGGTTCTAGGGGGCGCCAAAGATAACACTAAAATCCACATATTTAAAAGTCTTATAACTTTTTATTTTTGTCCTCACTGGCCTCCAAGTTTTCTAGGATGATGCAATGTCCAGCCATCAACACATTTGTGAAGGAATTTTTACTCCCCAAAAGAGCGCCCCCCCATGGCAGGAGAAAAAACTCCATTTTTTCTTGTCCCCTAAGGTGAAAATACACATTGTTGACTGTCACGCCTTTACGCTTTGTCAAAATGACACAAAAATTGACACACACATGTAACTCAATAAGATCTACGAAAAAGTCAATGCGCGCGTATCTGTCAAATGTACGGTTAAAGGGTTATTCCGCATTTTTTGCCGATCCGCACACATTGGAATTTCGCTAACTCCTCCGAAGGCTTTCTGTCCACCGGCACCACATTTGCTTAGGCCAATCTACACCCCATGGCCATTAAAAGTTATTCAAATCATGATGCTGCACCCCACGGTTTAGGTTCTAGGGGGCGCCAAAGACAACCCTAAAATCCACATTCTTAAATGTTTTATAACTTTTTATTTTTGTCCTCACTGGCCTCCAAGTTTTCTAGGATGATGCAATGTCCAGCCATCAACACATTTGTGAAGGAATTTTTACTCCCCAAAAGAGCGCCCCCCATGGTAGGAGAAAAAAGTCAATTTTTTCTTGTCCCCTTACATAAAAATACACATTGTTGAGTGTCACGCCTGTACGCTTTGTCATATTGACACAAAAATTGACAATCACGTGTATCTCAATAAGATCTACGAAAAAGTCAAAGAGCGCGTATCTGTATAATGTACGGTTAAAGGGCTATTTTGCATTTTTTGCCGATTCGCACACATTGGAATGTGGCTATCTCCTCCTAAGGCTTTCGTCCCACCGATACCAAATTTGCTCAGGGCAATCTACACCCCATGCCCATTCAAAGTTGTAAAAATCATGACGCTGCACCCCACGGTTTACGTTCTAGGGGGCGCCAAAGATGACCCAAAAATCCACATTCTTAAAAGTCATTTTGGCCACTGCAGGAGTACAGAGTACTGCAGTTCTAGGGGGCGCCAAAGATGACCCAAAAATCCACATTCTTAAAAGTCTTTTTGGCCACTGCAGGAGTACAGAGTACTGCAGGATACACACACATATACACACACGCCAACATACACACACACACACACACACACACACACACACACACACACACACACACACACACACACACAGACACACACACACACTCAGAGTCTGTTTTTTAGCACCTGCAAAAACATGCTGTTTACATATTTGACAAGAATGCAGAGGCTTCCTTTTGCCCCTGAAAAAAATCAAATTTCAAACACAACTTGACTGTTCATTTCTCCAAAAGACAACCATGAAGCTCCATTTCAAACCTGAAGCAGATAGTTGGTGCATGTGTACAGTAACCTGAGGGGAGTGAGGTGACTATTTCTGAGGAGAACATGAGCAGTGAAGATTCACCTTGGAGCTAGAACAGGGACGTGCACATGATTATACAGGGGCAGGGGCTCAAGTTTTTTCCAGTCATTTATACAATATGGAAATTAATGTGAAATTAAACCACAAATATGTGTGATGAACTGTTTTTAAAACTTAAACTTCAAATAAAAATTGTAAACTTCAAAACATATGCAAATTTTTAACAAAGAACATAGTAATTTACCTCTATTTACATCAAAATGCAGGCAATGGCCCAGGCGTTCTTTGTAAAATTATTTACAAAACACTGTATAGTCTCACAAATGTCACTTTTTATTTATGCCACTACAAAAAAACATGATGTAAATGATGCATGATGTAAAACATGATGTAAAAAACTTGTGTAGATCCTCCTCTATGTCAGTCCATGTGTAATTTTTCCATAATTCTTTGTTTTTTGCAGCATTTTTGTTAGTGTAACTGCAGATTGTGCTGACAGTGTCTATGGCACAAAAAAAAAAAAAATTAAAATGCCTCAACATGAACCCCTGGTGGTCTCTGAGGGTGAAACCTGCTAACTGCTGCAGCTCTGTCAGCTTCAGTCTCCCATGCAGAGCTCTGAGTGCATGTGTGGCTCTGCACCCTTAGCAGCGTTGCTAACTCCTCAGTAAGGAAAGCCTGCTTCATGTCAGAGTCTCTAAACTCCAGAAGAAGTCGATAAAAGTCCCTTTCTTTCTAAAAAAAAAGTCGTTAGGGGGTCTGAAAAGTCATTGAATCTAACAACAAAGTCGCTAGGTTTGCAACTACGTGTCCCAGACTGCATCCCTGCTGAGAGTCCCTCCCTCCCTTCTCATGTTGCAGGAAGAACGTAAGCGCCCTCCCCTTGTCAATCAGTCACCATATAATTTTGGATTGGTTGTTGTGGTGAAGTTTTCCACCAATAGGAGGGATGTTGTGGTGTGTTTTTTTTTTTTTTTTTGGCAAGCCTTTTCCGCCTGTAAGACCTGTCGCTAATGTCTGCATGCTATGTTTTCCTGTCTCATACAGCGCGATCGAGCGCTGAACGTGATCAAAATAAGCAGAAAAAAAGTATCGCGGACATAATTTATCATAACTCTGGTTTTATTTGGCCTATCAACACAATTTAAAAACTGGTATATAGGTTGAGGTCCTCACTTTTGAGATAAGTTGAAACGGAGAGTCAATGAGGCTCCGTCTTGCAGCTACATCCGGTTAAATATGTCATGTGACTTGAACGCACACACAGACACACACACACGCACACACACACAGACACACACACACGCACACACACACACACACACACACACACACACTCAGAGTCTGGTTTTTAGCACCTGCAAAAACATGCTATTTACATATTTGACAAGAATGCAGAGGCTCCTTTTGCCCCTGAAAAAAAAATCAAATTTCAAACACAACTTGACTGGTCATTTCTCCAAAAGACAACCATGAAGCTCCATCCAAACCTGAAGCAGGCAGTTGGTGCATGTGTACAGTAACCTGAGGGGAGTGAGGTGAGTGCTTCTGAGGAGAACATGAGCAGTGAAGATTCACCTTGGAGCTAGAACAGAGACATGCACATGATTATACAGGGGCAGGGGCTCAAGTTTTTTTCCAGTTGTTTATACAATATGGAAATTAATGTGAAATTAAAACACAAAGTATTAATAGAAAGGTAATGACTGTCCTGTGTAGGTGACAGTGATATCGAATAGGCTAGGCACTCACGAGGCTGGCTGTGGCAAGTGTAAGTGAAAGCAACACGCACTGGCAGGAAGAACAGCAAACGCCGATGAAGGAAAAGGGTCTTTGCAGTGATGGGCGTTACCAGAGAGGGCGATGGCCAGAGGACACAAATGGGACGGGGAGGCAGCGCGTTGGGGGGGGGACGCGACACAGCTCGGGCCCGCCAGTGCCCCAACGGGGTCCTAGTTTTTCTTTTTCCTCCCCTTTGAACTGGAAAATGGCCCACTTCCCACTGGCGAAAACTCATGAAATTTGGCAGGACGACCGGGCCTGGTGAAAAATTTGATATTCTGAAGTCGCCCAAACAATAAAATGCAAAATGGCTCCATAGCGCCCCCTAAGGTGGAAATTCACACTATTGACTGTCACGCCTGTACGCTTTGTCATATTGACACAAAAATTGACACACATATGTATCTCAATAAGATCTACAAAAAAGTCAGTGCGGCCGTATCTGTCAAAATTACGGTTAAAGGGTTATTTCGCATTTTTTGCCGATCCGCACACATTGGAATTTCGCTAACTCCTCCAAAGGCTTTCGTTCCACCGGCACCACATTTGCTCAGGCCAATCTACACCCCGTGGCCATTAAAAGTTATCAAAATCATGACGCTGCACCCCAAGGTTTAGGTTCTAGGGGGCGCCAAAGATAACACTAAAATCCACATATTTAAAAGTCTTATAACTTTTTATTTTTGTCCTCACTGGCCTCCAAGTTTTCTAGGATGATGCAATGTCCAGCCATCAACACATTTGTGAAGGAATTTTTACTCCCCAAAAGAGCGCCCCCCCATGGCAGGAGAAAAAAGTCAATTTTTTCTTGTCCCCTAAGGTGAAAATACACATTGTTGAGTGTCACGCCTATACGCTTTGTCAAAATGACACAAAAATTGACACACACATGTAACTCAATAAGATCTACAAAAAAGTCCATGCGCGCGTATCTGTCAAATGTACAGTTAAAGGGTTATTCCGCATTTTTTGCCGATACGCACACATTGGAATGTGGCTAACTCCTCCTAAGGCTTTCGTCCCACCGACACCAAATTTGCTCAGGCCAATCTACACCCCATGGCCATTAAAAGTTATTCAAATCATGATGCTGCACCCCATGGTTTAGGTTCTAGGGGGCGCCA